AGAAAATTTAAAGAATATAAATAAAGAATAATATCATAATAAATAAATGATTAATAAATCATTAGATTTGCAAACATATAAAAGAATGAATATATTATAATAATAGTAATACATGAAAATACATTAATAAATTGATCAAAATATAAAATAATGTAAATATTATATAAATAATATAACATCTATATCATATATATTATTAGTCTATAGAATGAGAAAGATTAAAAAAATTGATAATATAAATATGTAAATGAAGAAATATTTAAATTAATAACAAATAAATAACTTAAAGAAATAGAAAATATAAATATACAATATCCACTTAATTATATAATATCAATAAATTGTTTAATAATAATTACTTATAATAAATACTTATTATCATGAGATGATATTAAATTTATAAGAATATCATAATTATATCTTCAATATAATAAACAAAATAAAACAAATAATAATGATGAAAGAAATATAAAAAATGAAAATATAACAATAAGTATTTAAATAAATAAAAGTATTAGAAAATAATGAATTTAAAGATAATATAAATAGAAATTATTCAATTTATTATACATATTATTTGATTAAATCATAATTTATTAATAAAAAATTAAAAGAAATAAAAAAATGATATATAATAACAATAATGATATTACAAATTAAATAAATTATATATTAATTATATGATTTAAGTTATATTCAAAATATATCATATTAAATAAAAATTCTAATAATATATAGATTGATGATGAATATAACAATAATTATAATATAATAAATTCTCAAAACAATGAAAATACGAATAAATAAATGCCATTATTTAGATTATTTATTGTACCTTTGTATCTTTATTCATTCTTTTCTATCTTTTCAATTTATCTAATTTGACCACTTATCTATTTGAAACTTCTTTGATTAATTCCTTTCTCCATTTTCTATTATACTTCTTTTGTTTGATTATTTCATTCTGTTTCAATTTATTCTTTTCTTTATTCGTTGTGTTAAAATCAAATTAATTTCTTTGTAACTTATTTTGTGTTATTACTCTCATTTAATTTGTCATATAATACAAATTAGATTGTTATTGAAAATAAAAAAAAGTTTAACGAATTTAATGTTAATTTAAATGTAAATATTTATTAAGAAACGAAATTAATTCAAAAAGTGAAATATCACCATTGTATAAAATAATCATAATGTTTCATTATTGTGAAAATAATTGATTGATGCAATAACCTCTCAACTATTTATCATTAAACTATATTGAATAAACTTGTTCGTTTGGAAATTACTTTTCAATTATTGTTGAACCTTATCATTTTCAACAATCCCCTAAATATGTGTTTAGTGTAAGTCTTGTATTTTATATAGATAGAAATGGATATATGTTATGTATTTATTATTACCTCATATTATATTATGGAACTAAAAGACAATTTAGTGAGTTGTATTAAACAAAATGTTTGATATATGATATTGAAATTGATGATAAAAGATATATTAGTTTTCGTAATGGTATTTATGAATAAAATCTTTTTATAAAACAACTGAATCAATTAATTTTATCTTCTTTTTTATTCTTATATATTATATATTTCTTATTTTATTCATTTTCTGTATGTGTTATTAAAGATGTTACAATTATTCTGTTATTCTTATTATTTTGTTTAAATTTCATTCTTCACTTCTTCTTCTATTATATTTCTTCTTTTTTATGTTCTTTTTTCTTATTTATTCTTATTTTATTTATAATTTCAGTTCTTTATAATTTATCTTCTATTCATTCTTTTTAAACTCTTTGTTATTATAAAACTTATTTCTATCTTCTTTATCTTATTCTTATTTTTTCTTATCATCATTCTTCTTCTATTCATTATTCTGAATGAATCATTTTCTTTTTAACTTATTTTATCATCATTTCATTCTTTCATTTTTTACTTAAAATCTTTATTTCTTTTTTGTGTATTCTTATTTCTTATTTTTTGTTTCTTTCTCTTTTTATTGTTTAATCTTTCTTGTTTCTTTCTTTATGTTCCTTTTCTTCTTTTTATTCTTCTTGTTTCTTATTTATCTTATTTCTTCATTATTTTATTATTTTCGACTTATTCATTCATTTTCATTATGATTTATCTATTATTCTTCTTGTTTAAAACAATTATCATTTATCTCTTCATATTCATGGGTTCTTTCACTTATCAATATCTCATTATATCCACTCTTCATATCATTTCCTTATTTAATATTATTATTTTACACAACTTCATATCCCATCTCTTTCATTCATTTCTTCAATCTATAATACTATCATCCATTGCTATTCTTAAATAACTAAAAAACTTATCATTCTGACAAAACCAAATACCAACACCTTTAAATTTATACAAATAAACATCAAATAAACATATGATAAATCATTTAACACTAACACTACAACCTCACTTTATAAAACCTACAAAACTTGTAGTGGACAGGAGAAGTTTTCTTGTTATGTCATGTTAGTAGACATTAATACAGGTTGATGAAAGGAAATGAAATTAATTTTAATGATATTTTCAACGTTGATTATTGTAATTCAAGTTAGTTTAAAAAATTTAAAAAAAGATAAAATAAATAATAATGTTTTATATTACAATTTATAATAGAGTTATTAATTTAGGATTTCAAGTTAATTTTTTTAGAAATAAAAACTAAAAATAATAAATAAAAAATGAATATTGCTTGGGAAGAACATGAAGCACGATTGAATGAAGGAGATATGAAACACCGTTCAGTTCTTAATGTTATATTATGGTCTTTTGGGCAAATTCCAGTTGAAATGCCAAATGAATTTACAGTTTGTTTTATTAATGAAATTATTACATAAAATGATTGCGACGTCATTCAAAATGAATATTTAAAAAGAATGATTAAATAAAATAGCATCGTATTAATATTATTTTCTTATTGTTGCTTATTGAAGAAGGGATTGATTATACTACAGCATTAGCAATTTTTTCAGTGGTTATTCTTGTATGTTCAATTCTTGGAGGAATTATAAACTTTGTTATCCTTTGTTTTGCTGTGCGATATGCATGGAAAAAACAAACGATTATTGTTATTGCAGCATTTTTCTTAATTTTCAATATTGCAGCATGTTGGATTTATCATTATTCAGCATTTGCTATTTTATTATTCTTTACAGCATGGTTACCACAAGCAGCTATAGCAATGCATGGATCACAAGTACCATTTATTTCAACAACAGATTTACATCAATTTGCAGACCATTTATCAATTTTGATGTCAATGATAACAGGAAATCTTTATATTTATATTGCTCGTATATTACCTAATTTACAATATTTTAATTCTAATACTCAAGCCCTTGCTAAACTTGGATCTTCAGAAGTTATTAAACCAACAGGAACAATTTATATTACTACTGGAATTTGTGTGTTTGGACTTCTTTGTCTAATACCTTATTTATTTTTACAAGAACATTCAACAAAACCACCAATTAAATCATTTAGATATAACTTTCTTTATATTTTTAATGAGTTTATTACAATTATTGGTGATATGATTCATGAAAAGAATTTTCTTTTATTACTAGTTTGTATTATTGGAATTCAATATGGACCATTGTATGTTTCAATTCTCTTCTCTACTGTTCAATCAGATATTTTCCATACTTCAGAATTAAATCTTGAAATTAAAGAAAATATATTCTTCTATATGTATTTCATTTGTTTCTTTATTGTTCCTCCAATGTTACATAAATGGGGTCCACGATTTATGATGTTAATAATGCTTGGTGCAACAATAATAGAAACTACTTTACAAATGGTTGTAGTATTTTCTGAGCCATTAAGTTATGTTGCGTGTGTTTGTTGTGGATTTGTAAACGCTTCAATGAATGTAACTATAAGAAGATTTATTTATGAGAACTGTACATACGAAACTATTTCAATGCACTATGGTGTAGTTACAATTTTAATTAAAATTATGAACTCCGTTTCAGTATTATTATCTTTGATTTATTCATTCCAAGAAAATACTTATTATTTTATTAGATACTTTTTAGTTATTTGTATTTTCTTCATTCTGGCTTGTATTGGAATAATATGTGCTGTCTTTACAAAAGATCACCATAAAGAATATGTTTTAGGTTTACGTCCACCTTATCTTAGATACAAAATTGTTGAAGAAAAAGATTAATTTAATCTTTCTAAGTACCTTTTAATAAATTTAATTAATACTCTTGTTGTCTTTGTTTTGCATCATTAACTTTAAATTCAATGATGTATTTAGGCAAAATATGTTTTGGATCAAAAATAACAATTTCATTTCCTTTAGGAGAAAAATGTGAGTCATATCCTTTTTGACAATTCTTTCCGTCCATCCTTTTCTTACATTTAAATACATTACCTGGTAATATTTGACATAAAACCATTTGATTAGAATTTCTGTTGTTAGAATAAAACAATGCATAATCACTAAAGTATGTTAAATATATTCCATGCCCAAAATATCCTGAATCTAATTTTACTGCATCAACGTCATCTGGTAATTTAAATCCTTCTTTACTTATCCCTTGAATAGAATCAACAGAAGATCCATGAAAAGCCCATTCTTCTTCTCCAAATCCACGTTTTGAAAGTATACCTTTTTCAGCAAAGTATTGCATTTTTAATGCCTTATTAACAATAATTCCAATTTGAACAACAGTAAAATTACTTTGTGCCCCAGACATCGTTTGGAAAAATTTAGTATGTACTTTAGCAAATACTGACTCACCTTCAGTTCCAAACTCTTTACTTCCGTTTTTAATCCAAATTATTCCAGTTTCATTCTTTTGAATCATCTCTAATTCTTTACTAACATCATAATCCTTTACTGTCCTAAATCCATCTATGTAATCTTCTTCAGTCCATCCTAACTGAGCTAAAATACCAGCGTGTTGATCAATGTCTATTTTCATTGAATGTTGATATTTACGAATCAACCGTTTTTCTTCACCACTAACTTTGTTCTCTTCTAATGCACAAGCCAATAAAGTTTTATATGCATCAAATAGTGTAATTTTATTTTGTGGTGATTCTTGCTTCATTGCTGTTGCGATGTTTGTGATTGAATCTTGCAAAGACATATTATCAGCATCAATTACAGTATCATTCCCATGATAATATCTTTTAAAATGTAAAGGATTTGTTAATTTACAACTCTTCCCAAATTTACATACTGGAAGATCATCTTGTAATGGAACTGGTAATTTAATTGGTTTTGGCGATGAAGGAGGTGTTAGTAATTCATCTTTTGTTTTTATAGTTTCACTACCACTACTCATTTGACTTGCATTATCTAAGGCTTGACTTGAGGGGTTATGTCTTTTCTTAGGGGGCATACAAATTTATAGTATCTTCCTTTTTCACAAAAAGTAGAAAATATCATTTAATCAATTTTCATTTTTTTCTCAATAAAAAAGTGAAAAGAGAAAAAAATTAAAGGGTTATAAAACCCTAAAAAAAAGATTAAAGAGTTGAGAAATGGCATTTTTTGGGATGAATTCACCAATTATGGGTAATAAAACACTGTGGAATAACCAAAAATAATGAAATGGCATTAGTAAAGAATTGATTATGAAAAGAAAAAATCACAAATAGAAAGGAAAAGAGAATCATCTCAGAAATCATAACCAAGATGGAAAACCAAATTAACGCAAATCCCACAGTAAGTGGAATTGAAGCCAGAAAAAGATTTTATGAATATAGTAGTCTTGATGCTGAGCCTTATCAACCAAGAAGAGGATTTTTCTCTTCTCTTTACCAATTAATTTTTCATCCTATTAAGTTCTTTACTCCAACAGAGAAAAAAGTTGGAGAAGTAAAATTAGAAATTTATCAAAGAAATGATGGTGATGTATCTTTAAAATTAAAAGAAGATAACTCAAATAGAACAACTCACCAGGCTGTATTAACTGAAACAACAGATTATCAAAAAGAAATAAATCTTATAAATGATAATCTTAAATTATTATTACAAAATATCATAAAAAATACTTCAGTTGCACCAATTATTATTAAAACAGATAGTAGTGTATTAAAGGAAAACACCATTCTTAAATTAGATGAAAAAAATAATTCTATAATCGTTGAAGAACCAATAGGAAAAGATTCTATTTTATGTACACCATCAAAAGTTCGTAATACTGTTGCGTAACTGATTGTTATTTTTGTGATTCAAAACAAAATTCTAAATGACTGGTTTTTTCTTAATTATTTTTAAGAAATAAAAAGAATCAAAAGAAGAAGAATGAATGATTATAAACATTAAGTAGAAATCAACTAACGTCGATTCGAGTACAACTGGTTCGAAGGTAATTTTTCTTTTGAATAAGCTCAAGTTTTTCAATATCTTTTTCTGAAAGCTTAAGTTCCATGTCAAAAGGTTTCTGTTATGTCAGTACTTCATTGACTTATTTTTTAGTATATTTGTTAATAACAAACTTCTTTCATAAAATATTTTTGTGCATGTGAACGAACTTGAGTAGGTGTACGAGTTCCAACAAATGCAGAAATAAGAAGAGTGTTTATTCCTCTTGCTGTTGTATAACCAAAATATTTTATTGCTTTTTTAAAAGCAATACATTCAACATCAGTCCAATACCTTTTTTGTGGAGACGTTTCGTCACAATTAACTTTTATTTTATTTTCATTAAGTTGTTCATTTTGACACTTAAGTATATCTTGTGATGAATCTATTTCTTCTCTGTTAATATTATTTTGATTTAAGATATATAATAAACGTTTTTGATTCATATATATATTGGAAGCCTTTTGTTTAAAATCAGGACACAAAGGTGAAGGTAAATCATAAAATCTCTGATATTCCATTAAAGGAGTAAATTTTGATTATTTAAGATAAATCTGATTTTAAATATCTTATTCTTTTCTATATTTATTATTACTATTTGTTATGAATCGCTTTTGTTGTCTAAACAAAACTCTCGAAGTAAACTAAATACACATGAAATTTCATTTTTAATAATACCTTATGTACTCAATTTATCTCCTTTAATAAATCTTTTAATATGAAAATTATTAAAATTCAATTATTGTTTTGAACTTAACTAACTAACAGACAAAGAAAATAAATCAAAGGTCGTTGTTTTCCATTGTGCAATCAATTATAATCATTTAATGCTTTGGTATTCTTTTTTACTTTTCCTAAAATTTAACCTCCTTTTTTAAAAGATTCAACAAAACGAAATATTAATTTTTTAATTTTTATTTATTCATTTGATGTCATTTTAAAATGAAGGTATTATTTCCATATAACAAAAAAACAAATATTAAAAGTAATTTTTTAGGAAAGTTTATTTTAAATAAAGTTAATTTTAATGACTTTTCTTTATTAATTAATTTAACTTTATTTAATTTTAGATTTCTTTTAATTTAAAAGAAAAAAAATGATTTTAAAAAAAATCAAAACCATAATAAAATAAATCCTAAACACTTTAAATTTAGTGTTTCTCAGTAGTTTGTTCAACCTTTTTTGGTTGTTTCTTTTGTTTCTTCTCTTTCACTTCAATTTCAGCTTTAACTTTTGGACCTTTTTCACTTCCATCTGGAATCTTAATAAGAACGATCTTATTACCATCAAAAGCTTTATCACATCTATAGTATCCTTTTCTTTGAATTTGTATTTTATCTCCTTCTTTTAATCCTTTCATAGCAGATTCTCCAAGTGCTTCAAATATTTCAATTGATTTTGGATTAATATAATCATCAAGTACCATTCCTTCTTCAATTTTTGGTACAGTAATAAGATAATCATACTCTCTTAACTCTAAATTAACTGGATCTTTTGAAGAAATCCATGTAAGTTTCTTTTTAGTTAATTTGAAATCACCTTCAAGATGGGTATGTGCTTCAGCTTTAGAACCTTCAACTTTATCAACAATAATATTTCCCCAATCCATAAAAGTAACTTCTTCTCCATTTACAATTTCTTTAGCATCTGCTCCATCAAGAAGTACTTCTTTTGTGAAATGAACTGTTTTCTTTCCAAGTGATTCATTCTTTTTATGAAGAGGAACTTCTTTATCTTCTTCAACTGCATCACTGACAGTAACAGTACAAACACCTTCTTTTAATACTGCATTATATCTTGGAACAATTGGATCAATAACCTTCTTATTAACAGACCAAATCTTTTCCATTTCCATCAAGTTAATATTTTTAGATGATCCTTGTGCAAGACAAAATTCTTTCATAGCTTCAAGAGTAAGTCCTCTTCTAATAAGACCTTGAATAGTTGGGAATCTTGGATCATACCATCCATCAACAAGTCCTTTCTTAACAAATGTATTAAGATTTCTTTTAGAAAGAAGAACATAAGAAAAGTTCATTCTAGAGAAGACTTCAATAATTGGTTTTCTCATTCCAAATGTATCAACAACCCAATCATATAATGGGGCTCTATCTGAATATTCTTGTGATCTAAGTGCATGTGTAACACCTTCAATAGAATCAATAATAGAAACTCCAAAATCATATAATGGATAACATTTAAATTGAGTTCCTGTTCTATAATGTGGTGCATCAATACATCTCCATAATGATGGATCTCTTAATGCCTTATTTTTATGTTTCATATCAATTTTAGCTCTCATAACACATTTCTTACCATATTCTGTTCCATTCTTCATTTCTTCCCACATTTTCATATTTTTTTCAAGAGAGTTATTTCTATTTGGTGATTCAATTCCTTCCATTCTTCCTTTATGCATTTCTTCTGGATCAATATCATCAATATATGCTTTTCCCATTTGAATAATTTTATCTCCATATTCCATTAAAAGTCCAAAATAATTTGATGTATATGAAATTTTATCAGCAACAATTCCAATAGTAGCTAAATCTTTAATAATATTATCAACAAATTCAGCACTTTCTTTAAGTGGATTAGTATCATCAAATCTAAGAATTAATTCTCCTCCATTACTATGTGCATAATATTCATTTAACATAGCAGCTTTCATATGACCAATATGAAGATATCCTGATGGTTCTGGTGGGAAACGAGTACAAACTTTCATACCTGGTTTGTATCCTTTTAACAAGAGTTTTCCTTTAGCTCCAACAAGTGATTTTTGTTTTGACTCAACTGCACTAGACATTGAATTTTAGATGCTTTTATTTTTTTTTCATCTTCCCTTTTTATTATAATAGGGTAAATCTATTTTCGGTAATTAATTATGTTTTGCTATTCTTTTTACTATATCGTGGCAACATGTATCGACACGTACTTTTTCTTCTTTCTCTGATTTTGTTTAATTCCTTTTTACTATTTCTTTTATATTTATTTTAGGATTCTATCTTTTCCCCATTCAAATGACAAATTATTGAGGGTTTTAATTATTAAAAAAAAACTGATAAATAATAAGAGATCCTTATTAATACGTCAAAATTTACTTGAACTAAAGATTTTAAAAATAAAAACAAAAAGATCTTAAAAAAATAAATGATAATTAATTTTTTGTTATTCAATCTATTGATTATTGAAAGTTTAGGGGCATTACCCAAAAGTACTCCAATTAGTCTTCCTGTTGAAATAATAACAAACTTGAGTAGTGAAACTGTTAGTATTACTGAATGTTCAAATTCCATAGAAAATGTTTATGCTGCCTCATTTATTTTTGATTCACCTAAAGAAACGATTATTAATTATGAAACAACCTCTTCGTTAGATTTTAAAATAATGTTACAAAGTAGTTCTTCAAAAGAGTGTATTTTATTAGAGAAAAATAAATCCAGTAATATTACAACAACACTCCAATATAGGGTCATTGTTATTTCATCTACTGCATTAGTAGAAAATCAGTCAATTGAATTCTCATTAAATTATGTCCCACAACAAAACGATACTCTTGGAACTGTTTCTGATTATCCATTTTTCCATATGGTAACTGTCCCACCTTTAATTATACCTTCTTCAGATATTTGTCATTTACAATCAGCTCCGTATAATAATATCTATGGATACACCTATCAAATTAAATCAAACACAGATGATATTCTTGAAATAAATACTTGTGGATATAGTGAAGGTGTTACTGGTATCTATGTAACTAATGGTGATAAATGTTTAAAAACTATTAATTCATTTCAAACAGCTGATGTTCAGTGTTTTGATGGGATTGGGTCTCGTTTAGAAGTAGAAATACATCCAGATTTGACATTAAATATTCACATTGGATTTCTCTCAGCTTCAGAAAAAGAAAGAATGTTTTTGTTAAATATTACAAAAATTGGTGATGCTAAAGAAGAACATGAAGATTGGCAATTATGGATGTGGTTTGGTATTGTCACTGTAGTGATTATGGTGGTTATTGTATTGATGGTAGTTGCTATTTTCATTTATGAATTTATTCAAAAAAAACGATATAACCGTTTTTCAGAAACATTTTAAATAATCATCTTTTTTTCTATGGTATTTGTTTTAAATATGAAATTATTAAGAAGAATTAAATAATTAAAAATTAATAAACTGGTCGTAATCCAGCAAATGCTGGTATTTGAAGTTCTACTAATAGTCGTTCTGCACTATCAAATATTGTTGATGGTGTATTTCCTTCAACTTCCTTTGAAAATGGAAATTGAACATCAACTTGTTGTAAATCAAATTCATTTTCATCTAAGTCATCAAACATATCACCATCATTTTCATTTAACTCATACTCCATTTCATCGTCTTCTTCTTCAAGATCATCTTCTAAGTTATATTCATCTTCTTCATTATATTCATCTTCTTCACTAAATAATTCATCATTATCTAAATTATCTAAAAAATCATCAAGGCTATCTCTAAGATTAAGTGCAAAAACACCAATTAGAAAAGCTAACCAAATAAGCATTCTCATTATTATTGTTTACAAAATTATGATTTTTATAGTTTTCTTTTTATTTTTTCTTTTTTTTTTGTTTATTTTTCATTCTTCTATCATCTATCTCCTCCAAACGATAGAATTAAAATTATTGTTCTACATATTTCTCTAATCTCAATATTCTTAAAACTTCTTCTATGTCAATAGAGTACAATGAAGATACTTATTTTCAATTACTCTCAGTCTCTATGACAGCCCTTCCAACAAGGGTATACCAAATTTCTAGTACAATTGATATCTCATCTCATTCTCAAAGAACTTCTATCGTTCCAAGGTATTCATTACCAATGAAAAAAATAAAAAATTACAATGAACAAAAAACTTTACCTGTAAATGACACACTTACTACATCTGTAGATATAGAAAAAGAAGATAATGAAATTGTAGAACAAGACATTTCAAAAACTAAAATAAAAAGACAAACAATAATTCAAGGTTCATCAAAAATATCACTTAATCCTTCTTTTATTACTAAAAAGAGAAGTACTCTTATTCTTGATGATGTAAATCAGGAGAAAAAAGAAACAATCACAAGACATCAATCTAACGAACCTCAAAATTTTGTTCTTAATAGAAAAGAATTAAACCGAATATCAATTACCAAAAGGATGTCAAAAATTGGTTCAAGACATAATTCTAGTTTAGTAAATGGAATAACAAAAAGACAAAGTTCTATTATTCAAGGAGTAAAAAATAAACAAGAACGATTCAAAGTTGTCAAAGAATTATTATCTTCAGAAACAACATACGTAACAAATTTAAAAACTCTTATGGAAGAATATATGGAACCATGTTATAACAAATCTATACTTCCTAAAAGAACATGTGATATTATTTTTGCAGGTATTAAATCAATTTATTTTACTAACAAAAAGTTTCAAGTTGAGTTAAATGATATCTATGGTGAGGCTAAAAGTGTTGAAGATGGAAAAGAAGATTTACGATTTGAACAAATGACTAAATGTTTCTTAAAATTTGTAGATGTCTTTAAGTTATATTCATCATTTGTAAATAATTATGATAACGCAAGGACTACTACAGAAAATGAGTTAAAAGAAAATAAACTCTTTCATGATATGTGTGATAATACTACAATTAAACCAATGAGCTCTAATGGAATTCTTTCATTATTAATTCTTCCTGTTCAAAGAATTCCAAGGTATGTTATGCTCGTAAAAGATCTTTGTAAATGGACTCAAAGAAATCAATGGTCAAATAACTTAGCTTTATTAAAAGAAAAGATTGACGGATTAGGAAAGCTTATCAATGATTCAAAAAAGAAACAAAAACAAATGGATTTATTAAAAGAATATAATCTTACAATAACAAATTTTGAGAAAATTATTGGGGAAGAATTTGTAAATGCTGCAAGATGTTTTATTTCTGAATATGATGTATTTGTTTATTACAAACATAGAGTTAGAGCATTAACTTTAATCATTTTTACAGATGTACTAATTCTTTGTAAGAAAGAGAAAAAAGGTTCTACTGTAATTTATGGTGCAAAACTACAATTTTGTAAATTATATCTTTCATCAGATGAGCTAAATCAAATTACTTCCTTAAAAACTTCTTTACTAAAGAAAAAAGGAGAAAAATTTAGGCCATTCTTAGATGCTTGTTTTGGATTAGAAGTTGTTGGAAAGTCAATAGCTGAACCACTTCTTAAACCAAGAACTTTCTTAATCTGGCAAAATAGTTCATACCCATCTTCTGCAGCTAAAATAGATATTCTTCAATCAATATCAGCTTGGCAACAAGTTTTAAGAAACAATAATTTTAAAAGAAGAGAGTCTTTGGCTTTTGACCTTCTAAATAAATAGAATAACATTTTTTGTTTTTTGTTGATTTACTTTAAATTTTTTAAAATTAAAAATAGAAAAATCAATGGAAAAAATATGAGACAGAACTTAAAATTATATTTTTTAGAGCAATGAAATTATTGCAACTCATACTTTGCTTTATGTTAATTGCCCAAATATTTGCAGAGGATGTAGAAAACACTGTAAGTATTGAAGGAGAAGAATTTGAACTTGAAGATGATAATAAATATGAACGGGAAAAGGCACAAATCTCAGAAAAAATGAGAAGCTCTATTGAAAAGAAGATTGCTAGAAAGATTGCCTTAAGAGAAGTTGCTAAGAAGAGACAGTTTGATAGAAAAACATCTAAGATTCATCGTAAATTAAAAAAGATTAATACCCAAATTGAAGGACTTCAAAAAAGACTTCACATCTATTCAAAAACACGTAAGTCACTTAAAATTAAAAGAACAAAACTAACTTCTCAGAAGAAAGCTGCTATATTAAAGATTAAAGAACTCCGAACATCTATGCAAACCAAAATCACAAAAATGGAAATGAAAGCTATGAAAAAAGGAAAGAAAATTAATCTTACTAAAAAGAGAGCTCTTCAATTAATCCAAAAGAACCAAGCAAGAAAGATTGTTCGTGAATTTACTATTAAAGAAAATAGAATCAAAAGACAATTAAAACAATTGGAAAGCAAAAAATCTATTATGAGAAGAAAGATTGTTCATTTACAAGGTGTTGCTAAATATTTGAGAGCTAAATTGGCTAATGTATTAAAACAAAAACAAGAATATGCTAAGAAGATTCAAAATAAGAGAATCCAATTAGTCAAGAAAGCTATGAAATATGCTAAAGTCTTTGCTATGTTGAATCAAGTTGAAAAACATATTAAACATGTTGAAGAAAGACTTTCAGTTCTTGTTGATGAAAGAAAGAGAGGAAAATTATCATCAAGAAGAGAATATTTGATGAAAAAACAAAAGATGATTAAGAAAAGAATTGAAGTTTTAAAAAGAAGAAAGGCTGAAAGAAAAGCTAGAAAACTAGAAATTAATAAAATGAAACAACAAATGAAAGAGTATAATAAAAAATATCATGCTGAAAAGAAATTAAAGAAGGCAGCATTAAGAAGTGCAAAGAGACAAGTTAGTTATTTGAAGAGACAATACAAAAAAGCAGAAAGAGCATACAATGGAGCCAGAAGTCTTGTTAAAAGAGAAAAGAAAGCTATTGCACTTAAAGGAGCTAGACTTGCATTCTTCCAAGCTAAGAGTGCTGTATACAATTTAAAGAAAGATATTAGAGATATGAAAAATATTTCTATTCAAAAAGTTCATGCTATTTTGAGAGGATTATTGAAATTAAAAATTATTGATGCTAATATGAGAATTACTGAACACAAATTAAGTATTAAAGAATATGAAGTTTATAAGAAAAAAGTTGTTAGTAGAATTCAGCAATTGAAGAAATATGGTAGAAGACTTGACTTATGTCCTGCTAATCAAAGATTATTAAGAAAGAGACTTTCTATTAATTATAGAAGATTAAAACATATTGCAAGAAAGATTTCACATTCTATGAAAGCTATTAGAATTCATCAATTAAGAATTGGCATGATGCATAAAAAGTTAAGAATGATTGCTATTAAGGAATATAAACATATGAAGGCAATGGTTAGATCTCTTAAAGCTAGTGTAAAAGAATTGAAGAGCACTATTCGAGTTGCTAAATTTAAGAAGGCATGTGCGGGAGTTATTACTAGAAAGAGAATGAATTATATCATCAAAAATGCAAAGAATGAAATTCAATCATTGAAAGTTGAAATTAATGACTTCAGAATGAAAATTAAATTAGTTGATGAAGCTATTGCAGAAGAAAAAAGACAAAGATTAATGGTTACTAAGATCGATTATCATAGAGCCAAAGCAGCTCTTCATGAAGCTAAACATGGAATCCGAGTAATTTCTAGAAAGATTCAAAAGAATAAGGAATTAGCCACTAGTTCAACAGAACCATGGAAGAGAAGACAATATCTTAGTAGAAATGGTAAATTAACAATGAAACTTGTTAAACTTGAAAGCATGAGAAAGAAATTAGCACAAAAAGTTGATATGTTAAAAGTTAAATACAATAAATTATATCAAGCAGAAATTAGTGAATTCCTTGCATACAAAACTAAATGGGAAGTTAGAAAATCTAAAGTCATTGGTGAATTAAATAGACTTGCTAAACAAGATTCTAAGATCACTAAAAAATTAAGAAAAGGAATTTGTGAATTAAAGAAATGTAGAATTCTCTTCAGCAGAAAGTATAATTATTTACAAGCTCATAAATTACAAATTGTTTTGTATAAGATTAATAAGAAATTAGAAAAGATTCACAGTGAATATGTTAGAAGATCTGAAGCACGTTCATTTAGAATTATTAAAAAAAGATTCAACAAACAGAAGAAAGCATATATTAAGAATGAGCATCTTTTGAAACATGTCAGACACCAATTAACTCGTTTAGAGAAGAAAATTGCTGTTGCAGAACAAAGACTTCCATTCCTTGCAGACAATGAAAAGGTAATTGCCAGGGGTGTTGTTGCTGCACTTGAAAAGATTAAGAGAAATGTCCAAAAGAAAATCAAAGTATTAGAAAATCAAAAAACAATTATTATGAAGAAATATTTGGCATTGAACAAAGAGTATCTCATTCAATTGAAAAAGAGAATGGAATCAGACAAGAAGAGAAAGGGTGAATTAATTGCTAAAAGACCAGAAACATTACGTGCTGCTTTATATGAGTTGATTCCACACAAACAACAAAGAGCTGAAAGAAAGTTAAATAGATTAGATAAAGAGTTAGAGAGTTTAGAAAAAAGAAGTCTTGAAGATGCACATAGAATGAAAGAAGCTATTAGAACACGTAAATTCTTACAAGAAGCAGTCAAACCAAAAGTTGTTTGTACTGGAGGAATTATTAATTGCAGATATTGTCATAGTCTTGGAAGAATACTCAAAGTTTCATTGAGAAATAGAGAAGAAGATCGTATAATTTTAGAAAGACTTCATCATAGATGCAATAAAGAATTACCAGAAAACCAAGCCCGATGTATTGATGTTGCTATGAGATTAACTGAAGTTGCTGTTAAAGTATTTGATCCAGTCAAATTTAGAGTTGCATCTGCCTGCAAGAAGATTGGAGTTTGTGGCATTTAAAACAATTTAATTCAAAACGGTTATTTTTTTTTTAATATATAAAAACCAAAATAGAAAGAAAGAATAAATTCTTTAGCAATGAGAGTTCCAGAGTTGTTCATAGGAAGGATAATTCCAAGTTTCTTCATCAACTAAACACTCTGCACTGTCAACCATTCTTCTTAAGGCATGGGTCGAACTTAAGATATGAGACTCACAATAAGGTAATCTTCCTTCGAACATTGTTTCAAGAGTCCTTACTTCTTCTTCCAATTTACAGCATTGTTTTAACATACCTTCAGCAAGACCAAATAGTGTATTAATTCTCTCACTGAAAACACTGCCATTACCCCCTCCATTCTTAAGAAGTTTTAATTCTTTAGCTTCTTTGGCTGCTTCTTTCAAAGTTGTTGGGGCAAACTTTCTTTGAGTTATTTCAATGAGAAGTTTCGCGTGCATTGTTAGTGTTTCAATAAAAACATCTTCCCATATAGCAACACGAGCAGCTGTTTCTTGTTTACTCAGAACATTTAATTTTTCAAATGTGTTTATATTACGAACTTGTAAAACTTCTTTTAAAATATCAGAAGTGGTTTCTAATGGTTTGAACCCTCTTCTCTGCATTTCTGTTTTGTAATCGTCACTATAGCAATCACCATTATAAATAATTTTGTTGTGTTGTTTAAAAGTTTCTTTAATCACTTTTTCAACAGCATCTCTTCCATTTATTCCAGATTTGTTAAGACTCTTGACTTGTTCTGTCATTTCCTCTACAGCAACAGCAAATATTGTATTGATTACAGTCATTGGCCATGCTGGGTTTTGAGAAGACCCAACAGCTCTAAACTCAAACCTATTACCAATAAATGCAAATGGAGAAGTTCTATTTCGATCACTCTGATCTCTGATAAAAGAGGGTAATGTCTCTACACCAAAATTTACTAATAAAGGAGAACACTCAAGATCATCTTCATCTCTAAGCATATCATCAATACATCTTTCTAACTTTTCACCTACAAAAACAGAAATAAAAGAAGGAGGTGCTTCGAAACCACCTAACCTATCAATATTACCTGGAGTGATTGTTGCAGAACGAACTAAATCATAATGTTCATCAACTGCTTTAAGCAATGCAGAAGTTAAAAACAAAAATCTAATTCTTTCATACTCACTACTACCAAAGTCCATAAGGTTCTGTCCATTAGAAAATAGTGCCCAATTTAAATGTTTTCCTGAGCCATTAACACCTTCAAATGGCTTTTCATTAAACAATACTTTTAACCCATGTTTTTGAGCAATTGCTTCAATTCTTTCCATGAAAATCATATTATGGTCAGATGCAATACTACCACGTTCAAAAATTGGTGCCATTTCATATTGTGCTGGGGCAACTTCGTTATGAATAGTTGTCACTGGAATTCCTAATTCCCACATTGATTTCTTAACTTCTGCTAAACAATCGATAACTTTCTTAGGCATAATCCCCCAATAATGATCTTTAAACTGTTGGTTTCGTGCAGGAAGTCTTCCACTAAGAGTTTTACCTACTTGCATTATATCTTCACGTTTTCTTGCAAGTTTTTCATCAATCAAAAAAAATTCTTGTTCAAGCCCAATAGTAACACTAACTCGTTGTTCTTCGTTCTTTCTTGGTATTTGATAAATTAGTTGTAACATATTAATACAATTTGTAACTGTTTCATCAATTGCCTTTTCACTTCTAAGTAATGGCGTTTTTGTATCAAGAGATAATCCAAAAATCGAACAGAACACTGCTGGAATATATAAAACACCTCCAAATTCATCTTTAATAATAAAAACTGGGGAGTTATAATCCCAGGCTGAATAACCTCTTGCTTGAGATGTATTTCTGAGTCCACCATTTGGAAAAGAAGAACCATCAGGTTCTCCTTGTATTAATTGTTTTCCAGTAAACTCACTGAGAAGATGAGAAATGTGTTGACGAGAGCATTGGTGCTTAACAGAAAGAAAGCTGTCATATTTTCTTGCTGTAGTCTGTGACAAAGGTTGAAACCAATGAGCAAAACAACTTGCACCTAATTCTTCAGCCCATTCTTTCATTCCAAAGGCAATAACATCTGCAGTTTCTTGGTCTAAAGAACCACCATTCTCAAAAAGGTTCTTTAACTTTAAAAAAGAGCTTCGTGGTATTCTTTTTTCCATAATTTCATGAGTGAAAACATATTTACTAAATGTTTGGTCTTTATGTAAAAGTTCTTCTGTTGCCATACTTCTTTTAGTGAATGATTAATAAACAAAAAAAATGACTTAAATAGGTATTGGTTACGACTTTCTTTTGGTTAGAAGAAATACTTTGACTTTCTCGTTCATCTTCTTCTTTTGATTTTAAAAGATAAGAAAAAGATTAGTAAAAGTAAATTAGTCCTTGTTACAGTTTTGTTTAATCACTAAAGAATTAAATGAAAACATTGAATAGATATGAGACATAGAAACTGGAATATAGAAAATTATTGCTATTGTTACTAATGTAGGAACATATACAAGAATAGAAATATCAATAGAAAAGAGCAACAACAACAATACAAATCCAGGGAGAGATGTAATTAAACAAATAACTCTTCCAAATTTAAAGAACGAAGGTTTGTATAATAAAACAATGAAAGAAATTAGTGAAGTTACACCAAGAATAAACCCATAAAGAAGTGCAAAATAAGGATTAATGAATAAGAAAACTGTACATACAAATAAACTTGGTAATGAAGCAAATGAAATATTTAAACGGAGTTGAGATAAAGAAAGTGGTGGGGTATAATGAGATAATAAAAGTGATATAATAACAGGAATAAAATTAACACAAATCAAATAGATTGATTGGTCTTGATTGAACTGAGTATAATTATAATGATCTTCAATAGAAACAATATTCCAACCAAATAAGAAAAGATAAGGAATATATAAAATAGTAGAAAGAATAAAATAAAAGATTACTAAATAAATTGTTGTTGGATGAGATATTTCAGTTTTAGTTGATAAAAGAATGTCTGATAATACTATTAATTTTTTAGGTAATGAATCTGGATATGATTTAAAGATATAACAAATACTTTCTGGGATAATACTAATTAAACTAAATAAAATAATTGGAGCAGTAATAGTAACTGTAAATAATATAATCATTGGGAAATTGATATATGAAGTTAATCCTGAAGGAATATAAAAATGAGTTGAATATTGTAATTGTTGATATAAATTATTAAAAGAACGTAATAAAGTAATATATGTAGTTAATAATATTCTATGAGGAACTGATTTTTGTTGTTTTGTGTCGTTATAAGTTGATTGAATACAAAGCATATCCACATTATTATATCCTGACTCTGTTGAATCAGTATAACGAATAAAAGAAGCATGTAATAAACCATCTCTAAAAATTGAATGTGAATACTTTGAAAACATTTTTGAAATAGTTAAGTTATAATAAACTAAGTTAAGATGAGATATATATCCATTATAGATATCTTGATTTGGCATATAAATTTGAGAAGGAATAACAATTGATAATTCTGTTGCACCATAAGATGACGATTCAACATCAAGTTCTAATCCAGCTATAATTCTTCCACAAAAAGGATTTTTTTGATAAACATTAAAGAAATCATTTCTACCTATTGAAGTTGTATCTTCAAGAAATACTAAAAGAAAATTTCTTGCAAGCCAATCACATTTTGTTAATTTTTTTGCAATTATTAACATTGACATTAGTGTATTTATTTCTGGCATTTTCGATGGATTTAATGGTGAGCTCATATTTGTAGAATATCTTCCCATTAATAAAATACAACTTCTATCATCAGTTCTTCTTGGTCTTAATACTGCACTTAATCCAGTAGTATTATATTTATCTTTATAATTATATAAATCATATCCAATACTTTGTAAATATGAAAAAAGAAATTCTGTTCTTCTTTGTTGTGGAGTTTCTGAGTATTGTTTAAACATTCGTAATACTTCAGGTATTTCAGGTTGAATGGACTCTCTGACTGTATCAGCATGTAAGTTATTATCATCCACAAATGTGTGTTGAGATATATATTCTGGATAACATAGAAAAAATAATGAAAAGCTAAAGAGAAATAATCCAATAATAACTATCTTTTTTCTAACAGACTCATTAACATAATTCATTTGAAAAACTGTTTTTTTCTTTTATTTTTAAGTTGTTTTTTATTATTTTTTTATAACTCTTAATTATTCATAGAACTTCCTTCTTACTTATGCTATTCAAAAACAATTTATTAAGACAATAACTTTTTTGAAAAATGAAATAACAAAGTTGTATATAAAAAAAATTTCTCTTCGAATAGTTACTTGTTCTTTTTTACACTTTAAAGAAAAATTAAAAAAAATTTTTAACTTTTATTAAAAAAGAATTTTTTGAGTCATTACAACTTAAAAGAATAACATAAGGAAGATAATGAATGTCATAAAATTATGAAGAAACTATGGTTAACTATACAAATAAGGTAGAATTTGAACAAAACTTATTAAAATAGAATAGTTCTATTGAAATTGTTATTGATAAACAGAAAAACAAGAATTAAAAATAATGACCATTCCAATACTAGAGATTACTCATTAATTAATAAATCATGAAAGTTAAAAAATTATTATTTAATAGACCTGTTCAACTGACTATAGTACTTATTTTCTCTGAATAATTATCAACAAAAAAATAAAAAGAAATAATTTATTATCACTTAATGGTTAATAAAAACGAAAAAGAGAAGGCTCTTTTATTTTGAAATTTATAGAAAACAATCAATAAAGAAATTAATTGGATTATTGAAAGATAAATAACATAAGAAAAACTTAGTGATATCTGGAGAAAAACTTTTAATAGTAATATTTCTTTTATTTGTAAATCAATTACCAAAACACTTAAAAAACAAACTAAACTTACAACCAAATATCATTTCAGAAAAAAAATAATTTGGTTTTGTATAAGAGTTTCCTCTCCTATGTCTTGTTGCTCTGATTCTTCATTTTTAAATTAAATTTTTTTATTTGTTGATTTTCTTAAAAATTTTTTCTTAATTAATTATTTGTTATGAATAACAAAATGATTGTTTCAAATTTATTGTTATTAATACCTCATCTTTCAGAGAAGAAGATTCTGGAAGATTAATGAAACGAAGTACATTTTTAATTCAAATAAAAGTCAGTGTATTTCAACGAAAAGTCTAGGACTGATAAAACAACTAGATTTTCTTTGTTTCACAAAAAATCTTTATTGCATTTTAAAAAGACCTCTGAAATATATTTTACCTAAAAACCCAATAGGAAAGGAAAAAATTATGCAAAAAAAAGTAAAAAAAATGACTCAAAAGGAGAAATGGTCTGTTTGTTGGAAAAAGATAACAAAGATTCAATAAAAGAAAATTCAAACACATGTCCATTGGACCAAAAAAATTCCAAAAGTTTTAGAACATAAATTTGATTAATTTGAAGAGTCAATCTTAGAAATCACTACATCCAACTTTACTAAAGTATGAATCCTACCAATAATATTTGCAACTGTTATAAATGTGTTTGTGGTAATGTCTCGATTAGTGTTAAATCTGTTGGTGAACAAACTGATCTTGCTCTTAACTCTGTTCCTTTGAATTGGGTTAACCCCATTTATACTACTACAGGGGTTATTCAAATTAAATATCAACAACTTAAAAACATATCTACAAACTCCAAATTAAAACCTTTTTCATTAATACATTGTAACCTCTGTAATACTGATGTATGTTGTTATATTCCAAGATCATCTTATTTAACTGAAACGTATGTCATAATTAATCCATCATTAAGAAATATTAAAGATTTACGAGAAGACATGATTTATTCAAAGGCTTATGATTTGTATATTAATAACTTTGAAATTCAAGATAACATCTCGTGGTGTTGTAACGATCCTATAGAGAGAACGCTTTATCAAAAAAGCCAGGATTATATTGATGCTTTGTTTGAAGAAAAAGAAAGAAAAGTTAGAGAATTTGTTTTAAAACAAGAAGAAATTTTTGAAGAACAAAGAAGAGAAGCAAGAAATCAATATCTAATGCTAAAGAAACAATGCTCTGAACGTCACATTATAAGTTCATCTTCAACCTTTAACTCTTCAACCCCTACTAAGACCCAAAGTGGTTCTGAATTAAAACAAAATCATCTTCCTTTTTATTTACTTCAAAACTGTCATTCTAAAGATGGTATCTTCTTTTTCGATGAAGAATCTGAAAGTGGTGTTGAGCCAAGTTCATATGAAGAAAAAGCTTCTTTAGATAACAGAGTGTTTAGTCGTACATTTCATTCTCCTTCTAATTTGGATGACAACGATGATGTTCCTGTTTTTGCTAAAAAGCAAGAAAAAAAATTATTCCCAACTACGTTCAAAGAATTTACATTAGAAAAGGTTCAACAAGAGTCATATGAAAAACCCTCATGCATTTCTACTAATTTAATTAAACAAGGTCTGATATAGAAGACTCTCTTCAGATTATATTAAAAATTTAAAACACAACTTTTAAGTTGTTGTTTTTAGTAAACCACCCTTTTTTAGTAGAGCTGAAGAACATCATTTCTCAATTTATTTTGTAAATGAAAAAAATAATTTATTCAATTAAAAAATGTTTCTTTTTGGTTTAAAATAAAAGTATTTTTTTTATGAAAAATGAATTATATTTAGAATTAACTTAATTTATATGTCTTTGATCTATTTAAATAAAAACTGATTCCAGAAGTGAATTAAAGTCATCTAATTAAATGATGTTTAATGTGGCAATACTTTAAAAGCAAAAATTTAATTCATTAAGAACACCTTTAAAACATGAGTAACCAAACGGTTGTGTCTTTAGGAATTGATTTTGGTACAACTTTTTCTTCTGTAGCTTATTATGACCCTTTGAATAAAGTTCTTTCTACTATTAGTGATGAAGGAGGGAATAGCCAAATTCCGTCATGGGTAAGTTTCGCTAAAATGGAAGATAGTGGGGTTATTGTTGGAAATGGAGCAAAGAATGAAACTTTTGGTGAGTGTGTTTTATATGATCCTAAACGAATTATAGGAAGTAACATACGTGATATTAGTGATGAAGATAAAATTCATTGGCCATTTACAGTACAAGGAAATGAGAATGGAAAGGCATGTATGGAGGTATACAATCCTCTTACACAAGAAAATGAAATATTTGAACCAGAAGAAATATCAGGAATGATATTAAAATATCTTAGTTTTATGGCTAAATCAAAATTAAAAAATACACAAATTAACAATGTTATTATTACAACTCCTACAGAATTTGATGATAAAAAAAGAAATGCTATTTTAGCTGCTTGTAAATTGGCAGGAATAGAAAATGTTGGACTAGCTAATGAGCCAGTAGCAGCTCTTTTAGAGTACAAGAGAACTCACAATGATATTCTTAGTAATGGTTCTAAAGTTGTTGTAATAGACTTTGGAGGAGGAACATTAGATATTTGTTGTTGTAAGATACAAGGAAATGAAACTAATACTATATCTATTGGAGGAGATAAGAATTTAGGAGGGAATGATTTTGATTCAGCATTGATGGAATTAATAGAAAAGAAGGTTTATTCATCTGAATTGGTTGATAAAACATATTTCAAAAAAAGACAAGGAATGTCCCATTGTGAAAAGGAAAAAATAATTAAAGCTATTAACAGATTAAAGAAAGAGGCTGAACGAGTTAAAATTGAACTGAGTAAAAGAATAGATTGCGAAATAAATTTAAGTTACTTGTTATCAGATGCTTATAATGAAGATATTGATATAGTTTTAAGTGTTTCAAGGAAAGAGTTTGAACAAGTTTGCGAAAGTAAAGGATTATACAAAAGACTTATTTCAAAGATAAGAGAAGTCACAGGGGCCTGCGGTTTTGTAGGAAACTCTGTTCAATTAGTTTTATTAGTTGGTGGAACTTGTTTGATAAAAAGAGTAAGAGAAGAAATAGCAAAACTATATGATAAAAAGATTTTTTCTGATATAAACTTTGATTCACTTACTGCTGTTGCAAAAGGAGCTGCTTATTTAGCATATTTGAAAGGTGAAAGTTCAATTAGTAAAGAAAAAGTATATGAAATTGTACCAAAATCTATTGGTATAGAAATAAATGAAGGAATGTTCCAAGTGCTCATTAATCAAGGAGAAAAATTACCTACCCATGAAATAACAAAGACCTTTAAAACTTACAAAACAAATCAAGAAGTTGCTGAGTTTAGGATTTACAGAGGTAGTGGTAAATATACTAATTCTCCTGGTGTTGAATTTATTACAAAAATGAGTATAAAGGGATTTCCTTTAGGACCAGCTGGAAGTATAGTTTTTAAATTTAAATTAAAAATAAATGAAAATGGACTTATGGAATTATCTGCAAATGTTTTTAGAACAAACATCCATGAAGAATTAATAGTTAGTCTTGATTTGGAGAAAGTTGATGAAATGTTTGAAAGATTAAGACAACACTTTGATCTTTTCCCACTATATTAATTCAATTTTTAATATTATTTATCTTTCTTGATTAATAAGTTTATTATAATCTCCAATTTTCATCATAACAATTAATAATAATGTATTAAATTATTTCTTTTATTATGTTAAATTAATTCGTTTTACTCACCTTCTATATTTTTGAAGTTTAAATAAAAAACATAAAGAATAGAATTGTTTATAAGAAAAGAAAAACTTACTTCAAAAAAATAGAAAAAACAAGAAAAAAAGAACTTAGTTTTTAATAATATGAACCTTAGAGGGGATACATCGAAAGAGTATTTATTTAAACAACAAGAATCTTACCACTCAGTACTAAGGACTAAAAAAAGAAATGAAATGTTACATAAAAAACGAATAGAAAAAGAAAACAATGAAATTAGAAAAGAAGCATATTTTATAAAAAAAGAAACTCTCTACGAATTAATTGAACAAGTAAAACAATTACCATCTAAAGTTGTACTTATTGAAAAATTGATATTTATTCGTCATTTAATTCAAGAATCAATTAAACTTAGTGATATTCAAAAAGAAAAATTTATTCAACTATATGGAAATCTTATTAATTACAAAGATACTAATGTTGCTGTTCTTGTTATTGAAACATTAACTGACTTAGTTTTAATATCTGATGAGTATTCATTGTTAATTGATAAATACCATATTGTACAAACATTACAACAAAATTTAATTGATAGTGAATTATTCATACCTGTTTGTCAATACAATAATTTTCTAAATTAAATTAAAAATTAATAAAACTATAGTGTTTAACATTTATCGGTAATTTAGCAATTGATAATATTTCAACTGCAATTCAATTAATTCCTAGTTTAATTCAACAGTCAATGAAAATAAATAAAAAAGAAATTACACGATGTGCCTCATGGCTCATTCATGTTTGTTCAATAAAAAATGAAACTATTAAACAATTCATTATCCCATTTATTTCAATTCCAGATCAAAAAATTCAAAAACAGATCCTGAAGGCATGTATTGAAAGAAGTCAATATAATTTAGATATTCCATTAGATATAATTATTCCTTTTATTTCTAATGAATGGAGTAGAAAATATGTTATTGAAATTATAGCACATCAATCATTTTATAATAATTATCTTGACCAAATTTATTCATTACTTCCTTATCTTCTTTCAATTCATTTACAACCACAAGAAATTATTGATTTAATATGGTTAATAGAAAATATGTCATTAAATAATATTAATTATATGATAAAATTAGGTGAGATTGGATGTATTGATTATGTAATCAAACATTCATATTCAACTGATACAGCTGTAAAAAGAGATTGCTGTCACACATTAAGTTCATGTATTGTTTTATGCCAAAATGAACCAAAAATACTCAAAATATTAGTAGATCATCATATAGTTGAAGCACTAATTGATTTAATAAAACAATATCGTCTTATAGAAATTGAAGATTTGAGTTTATTAATTGAATCACTATTGATTTTAATAAAGACGGAAGAAAGTGAAGTAAATACAATAACACTGGTTGAAGACAATATTCAATATATTGAAATTGTTCTCTTTGATTCTTCAACACCAACAAAAATTTGTAAAAAGATCAAATGGTTGTTAGATACTTATTTCAATTGATCTGTTATTATTTCTTTATAGTTTATTTATATAAAAACAAAAACCAAAAACAAACTCTATAAAATAGAAAACTACTTATTATAATGTCCAACAAAGAATCACCAACTCCTTCTCTACTTTCAATGATACAACCATCGCCACCACCACCTCCTCCTAATAAAGAAATAGAGGATTCTATCACTGTTAACTCTCAACCTAGTGTAATTGATAAACAAAAAGATCAAACCCAACCATCTGCTATTCCTCATTCCTCACTCTCAGAATTTAATCCTGTTGAAAGACCTCAACAACAACCAGTGGCCCAAGAAGAAATAACTGAATTTAAAAAGAAACAAAGAAAATTAAGAGATGAATCAGAAAGAGTTAAGTGGCAATCAAACGCAGAATTTATTAAAGATGTATTAACTAAAGACCGTACAAAGGCAGGAGAAACAAAGCCACGAAAGATTATCCCATTGTTTGTTTTGTTCTTTCTTTGAATGTTTTTGTTTTGAATGAAAAATTAACAGTCATAAGCAATAGCCAGATTGAAAAGAAACTTGAAGAAATAATCAAAAATATTAGAAAAGATCTTCAGGGAATACAAAGAATTTCAGCAAAAATGTGTTGATATAGTGCTAAGTTTTTTGATAACTAGTTGTTGGGTCTTAAGCATTTATTTAAAAGAGAATTTAATTGGATTTATTCGACGTTTTTCTTGAGTTAGTTGTTTGGTTCATAACTTCTCAAAGAATATAAATACAAAAGATTTGAGCTTTCAAACATAAGACTACTGCTTTCTTTTTTCCTTTTTATGAACCAATTTATTTTTGTGGGTTTCTTTTTTTTTTTTCAAAATCTTATTAAAGTAATTCTCCCTTCTGAACGATTAAGAAACATCTGTTTAAAACTTTACTTTTTCTATACTGTTAATTGTTACTTACTAAGGAGACTGACGGTTATCCTTTTCTTTGTTAAAAGATTGATAAAACAAAATAAAACTATGTTATTTTCTTTGTAAACAACCTCAATTTATCCCTTTTTTAAAAAAACTTTTTTATGCTAAATTAATTTTTATGGTTCTCTTATTAAAAATAGGTGATAAAAGTAACTAAATACTCAAGTGAGATTTCAGAAAAATCACTTAATTCTCAACCAGTTATTTTATAATTTTGTTCAGAAATTCTTTTGGCAATGTATTATCAATTTATTTATTAAATTTATAAAAGATTGTATTATGTTTTTTTAGTGACTGAAAGTAAAACATATTTATGAATAATTTTAAATAAAAGTATTAACTGCACATTCTTTTCACTTTTTTAAGTCAAAATATAAGTAAAATGATAAAATGAATACAAGAATAATTATTACAAGAACGCTTTGAAAAGAGTAGATTGTAACCTTGGATTTTCTCTTGTAAGGACAAAAGAATGACCAGAGCTTGTTTGTGATGAATAATTTATAAGGATCTCATGAATTATTCTTCCTTTAGAACCAAGACCAATATTACCAACTTCCAACCCATCGATTTCAAAGGATTCAAGGAGACGATTATCTCTTAGTGTAGTTCTTTTACCATAATTTGTTTTAATTTTGTATCCAACACTTTGGGCAATATCTAACAAAACATGAATATGTTCCATAATTTTATAAACTTCTTGCCTTCTTTTTATTGTTTTTTCATCTACACCATTAATTTGGTTTTCTTTAATGAGTGATTGAACCCTGTTATCAGTAAGCGTTTTAAGGTTAATTCTGTTTCTTCCATCAACCAACTCTAAGACTTTAAAAAAAGATAAAGATTCAGTGTTAATTTTACGTGGTTTTTCAAGAAGTATATCGAATTTTAAATTAAGCAACGCAATCAGTATACATTGTTGTTCAGATTGTTGATCTCTTGTTTTGATAAATGATTTTCTATTTCTTCGAGGTTTATGTTTTCTTTTTTCATCAACAAAGGGGTGATGTGGTAGATTATTCATTGAGGTAATTATTAATTAATCAACTAGCGTTTTAGAACTATTACACTGTCATCTTTTTTTTTCAGTGTGAAACATTCTTATAAGAATTTATTTGTCTCTTTATATTGTTGCGTTATTCAAAAAAATTATTTTTCATATAAACTCTTAGTATTTTTAGAACAAAATATTTTTATTTAAATACTCCTAGTAAGTTATATTTTACATCTCTTCTATAACTTATAAGGTCAAATACTTTTACATGGAGAAGTGGTTGAAAATATTTGATAATCCCAACTGTTATTAACCTTTCTTAACTTGAGAAGTTTTTATAAAATAGTAAAAATAAAAAAAATTTATTAAATTTTTTGAAAAACTATGAAACTAAATGACAAAAATTTATTCTGACAACTCTCTTCTAATATACGGAAGACAGGAAGCATGTCATCAGGATTTGATCCGACGAGGTCTTTATACCAGAATGGAAACAAAAAAAAATATCAATTACTTTCCTACAATAGAGGGGAATGTTGTTGTCATAGAACGTGAGAAAGAAATTACATTGGTTGAACTAGAACAATTATCATTGATAATTCCTCAGTGTGTTTTAGCAATTGTATCTCAAGACAGTTCAGTAGTGTATTACAGTATTTCACCAATTTCGTTGACATTTAAAAAGTGAGATTAAGAAATAAATTGAATAATAATTTGATAAAAAATCATTTCATTTATTGTTGTTGTTGTGCATTAGCTCCAATGACATCATCAACTTTCAAAATCATTTTTACTACTTGAGTAGCCAATAAAATTTGTTGTGTTTTAGCATGAAGGGATTCAAATACTTTTTGTTCAGTCATATCGTTGGTTCCAACTTGAAGACAATCAATTCCAAAATGTGAATTTTTATTTGTGACTTGCATTTGTTTAACAGCAGCCACAGTCTCAATAGCATTTAATCCACTATTTTCAGCTAATGCATGAGGTACAGCTAATAATGCATCTGCATAAACAGACATGGCATGATGTTCAACAGTTTTACAATGTTTAGAGGCTTCAGCAACAGCAAGAGACATACTTATTTCACAAGCTCCACCACCACACACCTCTCTATTATCTCTTAAATAGTTTCTAGCAACACACAATGCGTCATGAATAGACCTTTCAATTTCAGCCAATACCATTTTATTACCACCACGAATAAAAATAGTAACAGCATTAGAATTAGGACAACCTTCAACTTTAATCATTTTTTCTTTTATAGTTCCAAAACTCATTTCACTAATTGATTTACAACTTCCTAATTTATCTTTTGTTAATTCTTCAAAACGTGGAACAATTCTTGCACCTGTGGCAATAGCCAATAACTCTAATTCAACACCACCAACCCATCTTACTGCATTAATTCCATTAGATAATAATAAGTGATTAGCTTCATCATCAAATCCCCATTGACAAAGAACAACATTTGCCCCTGCTTCTTTTACCTTTTCAACTTGCATTCTGAAATATGCTTGTTCTTGTTGATACAATTGGTTATATGCTTCAACACTAGTAACATTCATATTGGTTGTTGTTTTAGTTTTTGGTGGTTCAAATGGACATGATAAAATACAGACCTTTGCATCTTTAACGGCTTTTGGCATTTGTGCATGAGAGAAGTCTTTCTCTAACATCAACCCATCAACCAATTCAGTGTCTTCCATTCTTCCTCCAGCTTTACTAACTAATTTAATTAAATCCATATTAACATCATTACGTTCTTTATCATAAACAGATAAAACAGCATCTGCACATACTTCAGCTAAATGTCTCTTGCATCTATTAACAATTTTACTCCCAAGAGCTACTTCACATGCAGCAATGATGGAATCTCTGTCCATTTTTTCTTTTTCTATTGCAATTTTCTTTAATTCATCAACAGCAACTTTAGCTGCTTCTTCATAACCTGTTGCTATTCTTGTTGGATGAATTCCTCGTTCAACCAACTTGAGTGAATGTTCTAATAATGAACCAGCAAATACAACAACACCAGTTGTTCCATCTCCAATTTCTGAGTCCTGTGACTGTGATAATTCTACAAGTAACTTGGCGATTGGATGATCAACATTCATGTCTTGCATAATTGTTGCCCCATCATTTGATACAGTAACGTCACCATCTTGTGATACCATCATTTTATCCATTCCTTTTGGCCCGAGTGATGTTTTCAAAATATCAGCAACACTCTTAGCAGCCAGAATGTGTGCTTTTGTAGCCTCTACCCCTTTTAATCTATTTTCTTTTTTTTCTTCCTGTTCACGAACAATGATAAATGGTCGTCCGTTCTCGTCAAAAGCAAACATTTTTTGATCTTTGTAGTTCACCTTCAATCATTTTTTTCTTTTTACCATCCTCCTTTAAAACTATACTTTTTTTTCTTCTTCTTTTATTATTTCATATTTTTTACTATAACTTGAATTTTATTTACAGTAAAGAAATTTTTTTTATAATTAATTTTATTACTAATCAAATTTCTTCTTAAATTATTGCGTAATATATAACAAAATTATTTATTTTGTTTTATCTCAAACTTAGCTGTTTTGTTTACCCAAACTATCTATCTAAGTCTAGAGTGCTTATTTGAAAGGGTGTGTTTCTTTTATAATACTTTTATTGGAAAATAAAAGAAACTACCTTTATACAATTTGTGAATTAATCATTTTAAAATTACTCATAATAAACTAAATTAAATTTTTAGCTATAATTACTAATCTTTAATACATCAGAAGATTACGTTGAATACATAGTAATAAAATAATATCTGTTTTACTCTATTTTATTATTATATTAATTATCTCCTTATAACACTTTTAATAATTGCCTCTACCTGATAATTAATTTCTAATATTAAAACAAATTTCTTCCTTTATTTTTTACTTAAAATGGTAATTTTTTTAATCTTATTAGTTTTTAAACAAGGGGGCATAATAAAATAATGATTGAAATATAAACCATAGACAAAAATAAATAATATAAAACCAAAACGAAGTATTTGATAAAATCAAATTATTTATTATTTTTGTATTTTATATATAAATTCATTATTTACTTAATTTAATAAATAATACGTAAGACAATTAACTAATTAATAAACTCACAATAAAAATGTTTTATTGATGAGTATTGAACGTTTTCTTCTCCTATAATTAAAATATAAATAAAACTCTATTATGTCATGACACAATTCCTGTTTATTTATTACTCTTTGAATAAAAGAGCATATTATTAACAAATAAAAGAATGTTTATAATGTACAAATAAAATAAGAACTAAGTATTAATGATAAGTGATATTAAATATTATATCATAATTTTATAATTCTGCAAAATTGAAAAAATATTTCTTATCAATATAGTATAACCTTAGCTAATTTATATTTAGTTATATACTATGAATCATTGATTATAACAAAAGAAATTATGAAAAAATAGTTTATATTTCTTAAAATTAGATTATTTTAGAACTAAACTATTATCAATGAAACATATAACATTTTACAAAGAATTGAAAATTAGGAGTATATTATTAAATTTTAATTCATACATTCAAAATCTCATTAATTCCAATAATTTATAACATAAAATATTATATAAAAATCTTACATAACATAAACTAATAGCACTATTGTTATAAATTATTTATTTAAAAAAAAACACTTTATTATGTCATTGACTGTTAACTATTGAACACTATCACTAATATTTTATTTCATTCTAAAATATAATTGTTTTCAAAAAAAATAGCTCTATAAATTACTATGCCATATTACCAATTTTTATTGAGTGTTTATTATTACTTTCAAATGGTTCTACTAATATCTTAATGCAATAATTTTCTTGGAAAAATATGTCAATTATTTTCTATCTAAAAATAAATTTTATCATTGAATTTATTTAGATTTTTTGTTATTAATATTTGATATTAGTTATTAATCACAGATAATTATTTGAAAGCCCTATACAATAAAATAATTATCATTTAAATTTTCATTTATCAAGTTCAAAATAATCTTAATATAAATTTATCTGATTCTATATCCATTATTCTAATCACTGTATTAACACACTTATCTCACTATCAATTATAAATTATTCTGTTTATGAAATATATAAAATTAAATATTTTATTATGTTATTAGAATATCATTCTTTTTAATATTAACTCTAAAAACTTTTTCATATGATTTTTTAAACTTTTTTAATAAAAGATAAGTTGACTATAAATAGGTGATAATTCTGTTTATAAAAGATTGAATAATGCTATTCTCAAATAAATAATTAATTCATCTCGAGATATTGTATTTAAAGGAATTAGAATACATCGGGGATTCGAAGGTAGCACGTCAGAGAAACCACACAGATCCCTAAAATATTTCCATCCTTCGATTCCCCCAGTTATGGACTGGTTATGACGTTGCGTTTGGTTAGAAAAACATCTTACCTAGTACTGCAAGAATAGCAGTGTTTATTAATTACAATGACAGAATATCATTGACAATAAACGAATGGGTATTTATAAAGATGTTATTATTACTTGTTAGAATACAAGTATATTTGATAATATAAGAAAGATTATCAAAAGAAAAGGGTCAAGTGGATGAGGCTAAAAGAATATTAGCCCAAAGCAATAAGTAGTAATTATATACTCTCCTTAAAATAATAAAATAAAGAAGAAGAAATTTAAACCCATCAAAATTAAAAAGAAATTAAATAATGAATATTTAAATAATTGATGTCTAAAATACACTATTCCACATCAAAAATGAGAAAAGAAAGTTCTCACCGTTCAACAACTAGAAGCAAAGAATAAGGCAACAGTTGAAGAACAAATACATTTAAAGCTCAGGGACGGGATTAGTAGTCTCCGCTGAGCAAGTAATAATAGAAAATATTTCTATTAATACTTAATTATCTACTTTTTATTTAAAGGAATTAGAATACATCTAATTTAAATTATTTTAATAAACAGGATTTTAAAAAGAACAAAAATAAAACAAATAAAGAAAAATAAAAAATTCCTCACCAAACAGAAAAGAACAATCTTTAAAATCTTATTATTGAATCAATTTCATGTCAGGAGCCCAAGCTCATTTGAATGCTCAAAATAAAAAATTTACATCAGGAATTAAACCAGCCAAGAAAGAAGAAAAAGCAGCAGTTGGACCAGTAGTTTTAGCTATATTCTTATTTGTTGTTGTAGGTTCAGCTGTAATTTCACTCTTCAGAGTGATGTAAAACAAACAGACATTCATTCAACGTAATTGATTCATTAAATAATGCTTGTTTATTTCTTTAATAAAAAAGAATAAATTTCAAAGAAGAGTATTAAAAAAAAAGAGATTGAGTTAATGAGTTTGAAGCCATTTTTCACAACTTAAAGCTGCCATACATCCACTTCCTGCAGCTACAATAGCTTGTCTGTATACTCTATCACATACATCCCCACATGCAAATACACCATCAACACTAGTTTTTGGTCCTTCTGTAATAATATATCCATCATTAGCAGTTTTAACTTGTCCACCTAAGAATTTACTATTTGGACTATGTCCAATAGCATAAAACAACCCAGCAACTGGAACAACTTTGTATTCTCCTGAAATAAGATTATGAATTTTTGCTCCATTTAATAAATCACCATCTCCTTCTAACTCAACTAATTCAGAATTCCATATTACTTCAATCTTTGGATGATTTAATACTCGTTCTTGCATAGTTTTACTTGCTCTAAATGTATCTCTTCGATGAAGAATTATAACTTTACTTCCATATTTTGTTAAATGAAGTGCCTCTTCCATAGCTGCATCTCCTCCTCCAACTACCATTAATACTTTATTTCTGAAAATAGGAACAGCCCCATCACAAATTGCACATGCACTAACTCCATTTTGCCAATATTTATCTTCTCCTGGAACATGCATTCTTTTAGCAGTAGCACCTGTTGCAATAATAACTGACTTTGTAAGTACTTCTTTTCCTTCTTCAGTAAACAATTTAAATGGTTGTGTTGAGAAATCAACATGGTCAATTGTTTCTGTAATGATAGTAGTTCCATACTTTTCTGATTGTGTTCTCATATTCATCATTAATTCATTTCCATCAATTCCATTTGGAAATCCTGGAAAATTTTCAATTATAGTGGTTGTAGTTAATTGTCCTCCTGCAGCTACTCCTCCTGCCATAAATCCTTCATACATAACTGGTTTTAATGAAGATCTTCCTAAATAAATAGCTGCAGTATGTGCAGCAGGTCCTGAACCTATAATCACAACATCATGAATATTACTCATTCTATTTTTTTTTGATTAATAAGATTGATTAATTTTCTTTTTATATTAAGATTTATTCTATGACCTATTTATGTCAAGAACTTCTCAACTAATTGAGAAAATACTATGAGAACATCCTTTTGTATTGAACAATCACCTTTTTTTCAATAAAAAGTTCAATCACTTTTCTTCTCTTTTTCTATAACAAAACTTTAAAACTTCATGTTTTCATAAACCATTGTTATTCTTATTTTAAAATACTCATTTCTTAAATCATTTCTTCTCTAAACACTTTTTCTGAGTTATTCTTATTATCTTTTTTATAAGGTAGTATAGAATAATGAAATACTTATTTCTTAATATATTTAAGAAACGGTTTAGAATATAGATTCTTTTTTTTTATTTTGTGTTCTAATCTAATTTTTTATTTGATTTAAACATTCAATATCTTATTAATTTCAAATATAAATCATAGATTCACTGTTAAATATTTTTTTTATATTATTTTCTTCTTTATTGAAGATATAATTTTATGTTATTTAATATTCATTGAAATACTTTATTTTCATATTTATATATTCTTATTCTTTTGTTCATCTTTCAATTTAGTAAATCATTGTTAATCCGTTAATTATTTACACTTCATTTAATTAACTAATTTATATTGTTTTTATTATAATAATTAAAATTTAAAGAATCAACAATTTTTAAACGAGATAAACAAAATTAGTTTGAATCTTTTTAATAAGAACATTAACAATACTTAATATACATTTAACTGAGTATTTATATAATTTTATTAATATCTTTTCTGAATAATAAAGAGTTTTTGTTTAAATAATAATTTTTAAACAAAGAATTGATTATCTTCGAATTATTTATTATAAAATGTTTATTTTACAATTGTTTATTAAGGATAGTATTAAAAATGAACACAAAAAGACATAATTAGATAGAATATATCAAAATAGATTTAAAATATTCTTTTTATTTATTTCATATTTATAATATCAATAAAACATAGTGAAACTCTCTCTATTAGATAATTCTATTTTAACTATCAACTTATTATCATAAAGATTAAAACTATATCAAAATTAATGAATAAATACTTTTGACTCTTTTGTTTAACTATAAATGTCCAATTTCATAAGAATGTTATTGAGACAAGTTATTGTTTTCTATTAAAACTAAATATTAAATAACAAAAACACGTCTTGTTATATTTTACTCTTATGACTTAAACATAGAATAACTCTTATTTCAACGATTAAATACTCTATTATATTAACTTTGAAAGAAACTATTTTTATTAGATTCATCCATATCAAAAATAAAAGATGTTGTTATGAAAATAAACACTTTAATCATATTAATTTAAATCTCAAATGATTTAATATAAATTGTAAATATATATTTATGTTTTTATCTTTGAATTATTTCTTTGTATAATTATGTAAAATAACAATCATTAATCAATGTTATATATCAATAACAAAGACCTGTGAAAATAATTATTAAAAATTCAACTATCATTTATGTTAATAAATATTTATTTAGGTTAATAATATAGTAAAAAGAGTCTTAGTTGACTTATCAAAGAACTTTTATTCTTTGAAAGATGAAGTAAGTTTATAATATAACAAACAAAGAATATAAAGTAAAGTATTTTAAATCTCTTTATTAACAGTATTATCTCTTTCAAGAAGAGAAGGTGCATCAATTCTTGTTGTCATTCCACAAAATGCAATATTTTGAACAATTTGAGAGTGAAGAAGTTCTGGAGTTATGAAACAATTCTCTACTAAATCTCTACTAATTGGGTTATATTCATTTAATTCTTCAATACAATCTCCAAACAATTCACATAACTTCATCTCTTCTCTAGATTCATTGGTGTTACAAATTGAAGAAATTTCATTAATTGTGAATTTTTGTAAAATATAATGAAATAACATTGTTGATTCCTTTGATAAGAATAAATTTTTGTTAGTATCAATTAAATTTTCAGAGTCATAAACATTCTCAAATAAATCAATTTTCTTTGATGTAAACACAATTGTATTTATTGAATGAATTGTGAAATCAGACAAGAGACAATTATCTTTAAAATACATGTGATAATGGAAAAAAGGAAATAATGAAAAAATAGATTTTGATACTTCATAATACCAACCTTTATTGATAAAAATCCAATTTAATGGTTTAGATTGTTTAGAGAATAATAAAGTAATTGTTATATCTTCTGTTTTCCATTCTAATGAATTATTATCTTCAGAAAAAGATATAAAATAAGATTTATTGATAATAGAACCATCTAAGTAGATATTCTTTCTTATAAAAGAAGAATAATAAATAAAACGATTAATATATTCAAGTATTTTTTGTTGAGAATAATTACCAATTGGAAATTGTAAAGAACAAAAACAAGTAGAAAATAAAGAAATAATAATATCATGATAATTAATAATTTTTGGTTGAATTTGATTTTCTTTAATATTTGGAAAGAATAAATAAATAATACATAAAGAATCACAAAAAGAATAAGTTAATTCAATTTTATCATCTATTAGAATATCTTGCATTAATTTTGCTAAAACAGAAATAATTAATTGAGGAGAAAACATTAATAAAAATAAGAGTTTTAAATAATATCATTTAATATAAGAAAAAAAAATCACGAAAATATCAAATCTTAGTTAAAAAGTTTAATTTATTTTGATTGACCAGTTATTGCAGCCTTCTGGATGGCAGCTAATTTCTTTTGACATTCTTTAACTTGAACTTGAAGATCAGCCTCTTTTGTATCACATTTCTTTAATTCACTTTCAAGATATTCTAATCGTTGATCAACACACATCTCAGCCTCAAGAGGATCTTCTTCTTTTAATTCTCCATCTTCTAATTTATATATGATATCATCATCTTCTAACATTTCAAGCTCTTTCTTAACCATATCATTTTCATTTTTTTGTGTTAATAATCTTTGTCTGTTTAACATAACCTCTTGGAGTTGATTCATTTTATCGTTATATGCATTAAGTTCAGGTGGTTGTTGTTGAATGGTTGACATTATGAACTTGGATTAATTATTAGTGAAACTCCTTTTGTTTTTGATTTTAGGTCATTTTAAATAAAAAAACTAATTTTGTATTAGTCCAAATAACAAAAAGTAGAAGAACATTAATTAGAAAGAAAAGAAATGAAAAAGATATTTGGTAGATTAAGAGTGATAAAAGGAAACATGGTTCAAAAGAGAAGTGGACTATGTGATTGTTTAACACAACAAAGAGAAAGAAAATAAAGAAATTGAATATTTTTATTCAAAGAAAATTTTCAAAAAAAAAAAAAAAAAAATAAATAAATAAAAAAAATAAAAAGAAAAAAGAATAAAAAAAAAAAAAGAAAAAGGGTTTGGATAAAAAGCAGGGTTGAACTAAGAAGAATTGCACTAGTCAGCATGGCAGAACAAACAGAAAGAGCTTATCAAAAACAAGTGTTCCACCATCATGGAAGAAATGATAAAGGAGAAATTGACTTTGGAAGTATAAAGAGATATCATAAACAAATTGGAATGGGATTTGTTACACCAGCTGAAGCAATTAATGGAACATATATTGATAAGAAATGTCCATTTACATCAGATGTTTCTATTAGAGGAAGAACATTATCAGGAATTGTTAAATCATGCCATATGAAAAGAACAATTATTGTTAGAAGAGATTATTTCCATTATGTTTCAAAATATCAAAGATATGAAAAGAGACATAAGAATATTGCAGTTCATTGTTCACCAGCATTTAGACAATTAAAAGAAGGAGATCATGTAGTTATTGGACAATGTAGACCACTTTCCAAAACAGTTAGATTTAACGTATTGAAATTTACATCAAGAGGAACTGGTGATAAGAAACAATTTGCTATTTTCTAAGTGAAAAAAGGATATTGAAAAATTAAATTTTGAAAGGGGTTTTTTTAATATTTAAGAAAATTTATTAAGAAGATAATTTTAATATAAAAAAATAATAAGGGTTTTAAATTAAAAATTAAAAAAAACTTTGAAAAAAAAATATGCAATACGAAATTTATAAGCAACAACAAATTGAAGGAAATAATCCAAAATTCTGGGTTAATTTATGTCAAAGTCAAGATGACTTTAAAATTATTATTAACAGAGAAATTCTTCAACAAATGATTTCAGGATTTCAAGAAGAAGCAAATGAATTATGGAAGAAATATTTTTTTGAACAACAAATATATAAAATTAAAGAAATGGAAAATGTTTTTAGTAGAATTGTTACTGGAATTCCAAATGAAAATGTAGAAATTCAACAAGAATTAAATCAAATAAAATTTCTTAAAGAAAAAGTTATTCGTTCATATGAAGTAAGTCAAGCAGAGAATAAACAATATATTAAAGAAATTGAAAGAAGGAATGAAATAATTAATATGAAAGAAAATCAAATTCAAACAATTCAAAATGAAACAGAACGAATTGATATTGAATTACAATCTGTTTTAAGTCAAAAAGAAAATGAAAAGAAAGTTAAAGAAAAAAAAGCATTTAAACTTGTTGAAGAACATAATAAAATGGTTGTTAAATATGATGAACTTTTTCAGTCATATATAAAATATAAAAAAGCATATGAAGAAACTAAAGCTGAAAGAGAAAAATTAAGAAATGAAAATAACAAATAAATTTATTGTTGAATTGTTATATTATTAAAATTTTTATTAGTAAAAATCATTTTTTTATATATGAGATGATGATAAATTTTGTTGTTGAATTTGATTTTGTATTTCTTGAGGAATAGTAACAATATCTGGTGATATATTTAATATCATTGGCATAAATGGAAGTTTATTTGGTTTTGCTTTTGAATCAGTTAATCTAAGAAGAAGTCTTAAATTTATACAAAATTGAATAATATCATTTTTACTATATCTTGCAAATTCATCTTCATATTTTAAATTTTGTTCAATTCTTTTTAATATTTCTTCATTATTTTTAAGTAATGTTGAAATATCATAATTTTCTTGTTCACTTTTTTGTGGTTCTTTTTTACTTGAAAATGATGTATACATTGATTTTGCAAGAAATGTTGATTGTGGTTGACTTGTTCCTCTTTGAAGTTGTGAACGAACATAATCTTCTGATTTACTTGTTCTAAATGATTTTCTAAATGGTGATTCTTGTGGTGGTTTTGGAGAAGAATGATTTGATGAATAAGAAGATGAAAATCCTGAAGAACATTCATTTGGAGATGTTTCACTCATATTTATTCCTGTATAACTTTTTTGTTGATTCTTTTCATTTGTTTTACAGAAATCATCCCAACTTTGATTCTAAAATATTATTATTGATTATCATCCTATTAATTTGATTAAAAAAAAAAAAGATTATCAAACTGTTTGTGAACGAATCCATTTCATTCTTAATGAAATTTGTTGAATAGATTTATGAGGAAACCATGGAGCAATCATTAATACTGTTCTAAGTTCATCTTCAGATGGATCAATTCTATTGGTTATTGAATTTTTTTTTTTTAATTGGTTTAAAATAAAATGAAAATACAAACGTTGCCATTTGTTGTTCTAATAAAATAGTTTCATCAGCAGACCAAATTGGTGCATTTGTTTGTTGAATATCAGTTAATATATTTGTTAGTGATGGAAACATAGGAATGTTGTGACGATGTGAATCCATAAAAAAAGAAATGAAAAGAAGTTGTTTTGTTTTTCTTTTATTATTTTTCTTTTTTCTTATAAATTTTCTACCCTATACAATTTTACATAAAAACAAAGTTATTATCACTTTCAATTACTTTGAAATATCTGTTGCTTTATCTATAGTTAATTGTACTATTAATTAGTTCATTGTTCTTGATAAATAAAAATATTAACAAACATTCATCAAAGAATTTCATTAATAAAGAACTTTGTTCATTATATGATAAAATCATTTCTTCACCTAAAGATTGACAAATATTTTGTAGTTTTTCTAAAGCCTTTCGTTTTTTCTTTAGTTCTTTTACCATTTGTATTGTTTGATTAAGAGTTGCTTTCAATAACTCTTTTTTTATGCGTTTTCTTTCTTGTTTTTCTTTTTGTTTTTGTTCTAATTGATTTCTTGCAAGAAGTAATGAAGGTCTCACTGTAGCAGTTATTTGTGTTGTATTTTGAGAAGATGTATTTTGACTAAGTTGTGAAAAGAGTGGTTGTGATAGTTGAGAATTTTGTGAATTAAAAATATAGTTCATTCGTAAATGTTTTTTGTTTCTTTGAGTATGTTTAAGTTATACCTTCTTTTCCTAAACAAAAATAATATCCAGAATAAATCAATTAATCAATCATTTGTGATTGTAATTTATCAATTCTATCTGTAAAATTATGTATTTCTGTAAATTCTGAAATTTTACTATCTGGTGTTAGATTGTTAATTTTTTCTATTAATTCTTGTTTAATTTTAAGTGAATCTATTGAATTGATGTTCTGTAAGTCTAAAAACATTTTTTTAAGTTTTAATTTAAGTGGTTTATTATTAAATTTTTTGAGTAATTCTTCTATATCAACAACTTGTTGATTTTCTTCTATATCAACAACTTGTTGATTTTCTTCTATATTAACAACTTGTTGATTTTCTTGTTTAAGTTTTTTAATAAGATTTGAAAAGAATTCAATATTCTTTTTAATAGTCTCTAATTTATCACTTTTATAATTTAAAATTTCAGTTATTCCATTAGAATATTTTGCATATTCTTCAGGAAATTTAACACTAAGAATTTTTGTAATATCATTTAATCTTTTTTGTTGTTCTTTTAATTCTTGTAACATTTCTTTTTTTCTTTCTTTAACTTCTGTTATAGATGCAATGTTTGATCGAATTCTCTTTATATCATCAGAATTATTGTCATATGTTAGACATTTAATTTCTCGTATATGTCCTCTTTCTTTACAATCTAATGGTTCAATTATTTCTGCTTTTAATCCAACTCGTCCATCTAATTCAACTCGACAAGTTACTCGAAATTTAACTTCTCCTTCTTTTCTTTTCGGTAAATTAGGTATTACAAATACTCCTAGATTAGTACAGTTGTCTGTTTCAGATTTTGGATCACTTGTTTGAAGTAAATCAAATTTACATTTTGTTTGATAATCTTCAACTGTTTTATAACATGAAGATCCTTCTGCAGGAAGTGTTGTTCCTTTAGCTACTAAAGAATGAAATTTTGTTCCATAAATTGATGTTCCGTAATAATATGAACAAATGTCTTGAACTGGAAATGCTCCAGAAATTCGTTGATATGCATATAATGCAGCTCCAAATGAAACAACTTTCTGTGCACTAGCTTTTCTTTTAAATTTTGTATTGACACAATAACTTTCTACAAGTTTTTGAATAAATGGAATAAAAGTAGAACCTCCAACAAGAATAACATCCTTAAGATCGTATCGAGTACAATTACAATGACCTAAAATATTATTGATAACTTCTGTACACTTGTTTTTAATACTTTCATTGATTGTTTCAAAGTCTTCTTTTGTAATTGTAATTTTAATATCTTCTTCATCATAACCATAGTTATCGTCATCATCTTCTTCAAATTTTTTTAATATTATATCTGTTTCTTCTTTTGATGATAATTCAATTTTAGCATTTTCACATAATTCCATAATTTCATCTTCAGTTAAATTATTTAAGTATTCAGTATATTCTTTTTTCTTACACTCTTCTTGAAGAAAATATTTAATATTCATATCAATGTCTTTTCCACCAAGATAATTATTTCCCTCTGATCCAATAACTTTTAAATTTCCATTTTTCATTTCAACAATAGAAACATCAAGTGTACCTGCTCCAAAATCAAATATAAGGATTTTATCTCCATCGTTATAATTTTGTGTTCTACTACAATGATATGCTGCTGCAGTTGGTTCATTTAAAATATCAATAACATCTAATTTTGCTGATAATGCTGCTTTTTTTGTTTGATTTCGTTGTTCATCATTAAATTGTGCTGGAACAGTTAAAATACATTTAATATTTTTTGAATTAAATTTATTAATAATACTTTTTCTTACTCTACTATATAAAATAGATGCAACTTCTGTTGGTGAAATTGTTTTTTCATTATAATATTTGATTCTACAAAGTCCATTTTCTGGATCTTTAACAATATCATAATTAATCATTCTTTTTTCTTGTTTTACTAAAGAAGGTTGAAAAGGACGACCAATTAATCTTTTAGTGTTTGATATTTTTTGAGTTTTATCATCTGGAATAATGTTATCTTTTAGAATCACTCCATCATGAAAATAAATAATTGATTGCATTCTTTCTTCTTCGTTTAATCTCACTAATTCACATTCATTTTTTTTTGTATTATAATATGCACACTCAATTGTAGTTGTTCCAAGATCAATACCAACAATAACTAATGATGTCATATTAATATTTTATTTTAAGTTTTGTTTTTCAAAACTTAAAATACTTTAAAAACAAAAAAGATAATTAATTAATAATGACTATTAAAACATCTTCATTTGATTTTAAAAATCTTCTTCTTCATTTAGATGAAAAAGATAAATTAAGTCAAGGTGCAGAAGCAGTTATATATAAAGTAAATACACAAAATGGTGTCTTTCTTATTAAACATAGATTTGCTAAATCATATCGTGAACCAACTTTAGATAAATCAATGAATAAGAAACGAGTAAATAATGAAAACAAAACACTTCAAAGATTTAATGAATTAAATATTCCATGTCCTAAAGTATTATATTGTAATAATCTTGATATTATAATGGAATATATTGAAGGAAAAACATTAAAAAATTTTGTTAATGATATGTACAAAAATGAAAAATATAATAAAGAAGTTATTTGTGTAATGGGGAAATTAGGAAAACTTATTGGTACAATTCATAAAAAAGGATTTATTCATGGAGATTTAACTACTTCAAATTTTATGATTACACAAACAAGAGATATTATTATTATTGACTTTGGATTAACAATAATGTCAGAAACAATAGAAAATAGGGCTGTTGATTTATATGTATTAGAAAGAGCACTTTTATGTACACACTATAAAGCAGAAGATTTAGTTTGTTACTTATAATAATATATAATGATTATCTACTAAATAATATAGTTTAAATATATTTTAGAAGGATACTATGAAACAGGAGATAAAGCTAATGATGTTATTCAACATCTCAATGAAGTTAGATTAAGAGGAAGAAAGAAAGATATGTCAGGATAAAATAAGAATGAGATAATTTTGAAATTTTATGTTTTAATTTTCTTTATAAGAAAAAAAAAAAAAGAAAAGATGAACTTCAAATTAATAAAAGAAATGAAAAATAATCAAATAGCACAAAGTTCATTTGAATATCTTCTTATGCAAATAGTTATGAATAGACAAAAAGAAAGTGAAACTATTGATGATAGTAAAGAAAAAATAAAAAGAATTGGATATGATGTTGGAAATAGACTAACAGAAAGATTTACAGATTTTGAAAAACCAATTAATAAAATTGATGAAAGTATTAAATATTTATTAACAATACAATGGTGTAAACCATTTTTCGATAATCCAACACTTAAATATATTGAATCAAATGTTTGTAAATTAAATAATAAAAGAATAAATAAAAAAAATAATTAAATAGAAAACATATACAATAACAGTTTTACAATCAGACTTTGTTTCAACAATTAGTTCATTTCAAATAGAAAAATATAATCCAATTGAAATTAAAGAACTGTATTTATCTTATCTTATTGGTATTATTCATGGATCATTAAATTCAAGAGGTTTTAAAGTAGATATTCATTATCCTAATATAAAAAATAATTTTGATCATTCATTTGAATTAATAATAACATTATGTGAGTAATTAATATTTTAATTGATGAATTACAAATTAATTGAATTAATGTCTTGTAAAATATTTATTTGCCCAATAATTTCTATCTGTATCAATATTATCAGCAGTAATATCACCATTAGGTCTAATCCATTTATTATAACTTTTACTTGGACCTTGCATTAATCCATCTTCAACTTTAAATATTTGTTTTTGTTTAGGAAAACGAATATCTTCTTTAAATGGCATTGAATATAATGAGTCATAATCAACATTATTTTTATTACTACTTTTCATATATCTAATAAACATCTTTCTTTGCATCTCAAGATTTTTCCATTTTTCAGCTACTTGTTTGTATTGTGGTTGATTTCCTCTTTCTGCTATTTGTTTTCTAAATTGCATTTTAGCTTCCATTTCACTAATTCTCATATCTCTCCATAACCTCTTATTTGCATTCTTTAATGACCCTTTAACACTTTTATCAAGTAAATATTTATCTGTTAATCTTCTTAAATTTTGATTATGTTCTTCCATCATTTGTCTTTCTAACTCTTGTTGGTTCATTGCAAATGGTCTTAATGGCATCATTGAACCTGAATTCATTCGTGTGGCTGGTGTTCCTGCAATAGCAATACTTATGAAAAAGAGTAATTCAAAAATCATAATATTATATTTTATAGTTTCTTTTATATAGTTCTTTTTACTATTCTTTTTATTATTTTTTTTCATTATGTATTTTATCCTCTATATTTCATTATTTTTATTTAAAATATTTTCTTTGTTTTTATTTGTTGAAAATATAAAAAATTATTTCTTAAAAATGTTATTTATTTTTGCTATTGGAAAAAGAGAAAAATCTTGAAAGAATAAATAATAAATAAATTAATAATAAATAAAAAAAATAAAAAAAGAAGGACTGAACTAAAATCAAAAGAGAAAAACATGTCAATGGAAATAGAAGCACCAAATGCAAACACTCAAAAAATTCGTGATTGTTTTAACTTTTATGACAGAGACTATGATGGAAAGATTGACGTTAAACAATTAGGGACTTTAATCAGATCACTTGGTTTGTTAAGTAGTTTATTGGTTTATGTACACTTTTGTGTTTTGATGAAGGCTTATTCTTTTAGGTTGTGCCCCAACTGAAGATGAAGTTAATTCATATATTAAGGAATTTGCCATTGAAGGAGAAACTTTCCAAATTGAACAATTTGAATTAATTATGGAAAGAGAGCAAAGCAAACCAGATACAAGAGAAATAAAATTAAGAAAAGCTTTTGAGGTGTTTGATCAAGACAAAGATGGTAAAATTAAAGCTTCTGATCTTGCACATAACTTAACTACCGTTGGTGATAAAATGACAAAAGAAGAGGTTGAAAAGGTTTTCTCTATTTTAGGAATTACAATGGAATCTGACATTGATTTAGCAACATTCCTTAAACTTGTTGCTCTTTAAATGATTAAATTCAGTTTTTTTTTACTATATATTATAATATTTTATATTATACTTATAATTTTTGTTTTTAGTATTATCTGATTATTCATTATTTCTTCCTTTATCCTTAATGAAGTGTATTGGAAATTCAATTAAACTTGAGCAAATGGACAGATATGAATTATCTGCACTAAACCAACAACTTGTTGCTGTTTGTTAATTTTTATGAATAAAATGAGAAGGGTTTTATAAAAAGAAATAAAAAGAGAGATTTATGTAATAGGACATTGATTGGATTAACGCAAATATCAAAAGAGTTACTGCAGACCTAGAAGACTATAATGAAAAAACATCAATTTTAAATACGTTAAAATGTCCAAACACAATACCAACCGATGCATTTGTTCCACTCACACAAACTGTTTGTTTTAAATTACATTTTTATTAATACCAAGAATAAGTATTTAATAGTTAGTTAATGATAAAAGGAGATATTGAATTTAATGGAAGAGTTATTGTTCATGTTGGAGATCAGTATTATGTTAGTAAAGTTTGTTTTTTTATTTTTATAAGTAAATGCACAATAACTAATTTGTTTAAATAGAAAGTTGATAAAGCTATTGAATTTTATACAAAAAGAATTAATGAAAAACAAATGGAAAAGAATGCATATGAAATTTTACTTAGAGATAGACAAAGTGTTCTATCTAAAATGGAACAACTTGTAAAAAGAATGATTGAATTACAAAACTTATTAAAGAAGTAATCAAAACAATAAAAAATAAATTGAGTTATAAATTATCTTCAATTAACTTACGTTTTCTTAATTCATTGATTTGATAAAGCTCTTCTAAATTAATATTTTCATCACTACTTTCTGTAGAATCTTCTTCTATTCCTTCAAGATTTTTCATTATATCAAAATCTGGTGCTAATTCATGTTGTGTTTCTTGTTCATTAATCACAGCATTTGTGTGTTCATCAACCATCTCTGGATGATCTATATAATGTGCAATGACATCAGTAGTTGTTGAAAATCGTTCTAAGTCTTGAAGAATAATACCATCAGGAATCATTGGGAATACTTCTTTAATAGCTCCAATTTGTTCTTGAACAGTATTTTGTTTAAATAAAAATTGGTAAAGACGCACAACAAAACGACTTGATTTAGGTAGTTTCATGATATATTTTTCATAATTAATTTTTAATGGAAGAATGGGTTGTTTACAAAGAGGACAAACAGAATTATGTTGTAACCATGGTATCACACAAGAATAATGGAATTTATGACCACAAGAAAATGCAACACACTTTCTTTTCAAACAAGAATAACAAATAGAACACTCTCCTTCATTTAAATCACAAATTTTGAGAGTGATTACAAGATGGTTAAAATATTTCTGAACTGTTCTAATCTTAAAAATACCTGCAAATCCTACTCTAAGTATTTGAAAACCAATCCAAATTCCCATTAATCGTTGTCTCCATGTATATATAAGTAAAACAATATAATGAACAATTAAACATCCTATTGTAATAAAGTCAAAATGTATTTTTGTAAAAAAGTGTTCAATATATCGTTTACTCCATTGATTATCATAGCATCGTTTATATATAAATCCATAATTATAAATTACATAAATAACTTCATTTGGAATTATAATAAATTCTGGTATTGTTATTGGCAGTGTAATTAATGGTGCAAGGCTTATACACTTAAATATTAATATGCAGAACAAAATAATGTATATTGGCATAAACACTATAAATCCTATTGTTGAAAAGTTTGCAACAAAAGCTGCTGGTGAATAATAACATTGTTCTTCTAATTTCAGTTGGAATAAACAAATCATATGTCTTAGGAGTTGGATAGAGAAGTAGGCATAAATAAATACTGGTTGATTAATAGGTGATATGTACGTCCCAAGAATTGATATTGTTGATGTTTTAATCAATACACAGATAATAACTGCAAAAATAACAAACATCACATCTTCATCTCTTAACGACTTGTATTTAATGACAATTATACATGACAATAAGCATATTAACAATACCAATGGGGTGAATACATAAGGGATATAAAGTATACTTGTTATGTAATTGACAATTCCCATTGAAAAATTTTTAAAAATGAAAAATAACAAAACGAATAACAAATTTTTAATTTGTGTTAAACAAAGTTAGAAAGAATAATAATTTAATATGGAATTAAAGAGATATAGTACCATTTTGTTTATTGTTAAAGAATTATAATTTATTTTTTGGTTTTGTTAAAGTTTTTTAAGTTGATCTCGGTTCTTTCTTATATTCAATTGGAATACATACATCATTAACCAATTAAATTAGAAAGTTAATAAACTTGTTTAAACAGTATTGACTATTTGTAGTAAAAGTGAAGCAAATAGAATTGGTTTAATTCTTATTCTATATGAGGAGAACTATCTAGAGTATATTAAATGATTTGAATTGTTTTCTTAAGAACCTCAGGTAAGGCAAATTATTAAAAGTATCATTTGAGATGGTTTTATTTTCAACTCACAATAACTCAAAAATGACATTCTGAAGAGCATAGTTAGTTAAATTTATAACTCAAAAATAATAAGCAATAAATTTAAGAAAGTATTGGTTCAGAAAACTGTTATAAGAAAGAAGTTGTCTTGAGTTATTTTTTATAATGTGTTGTTTTATTGTAGAGTTTTTGTGTTTATTAATGAAGAATCAAATAAGTTTTTCAGTACTCTTAAAAAAATTATCAGAGATAACATAAAATGACTTAAAGAAGATAATATTAAACTTAGATCTGAATAATAACCCTCAGTATTTTATTAATGTTTATATACCAATTTTCATTTATGTTTATTAAATTTTATTTTTATAGATGTCATATCTTAATTTCATTGTTTGTTCGTATTATTGTATTTTTATCTTTAGTTAAAGTTTCTTACCTATTTATATATATATATATATATATCTGATTGTTATACTATTTACTTATTTATTCTCATCTCTTGAATTAATAATTTATAGTCTACTATCTACTAACGATTATACTCTATTCATTTAATTTTCAGTGAGGATATGTATTATTGTTCAAATTTTATTTTTATTTTTTATTTTCATATTACTTCTTATCTAGTAATTCAATTTACATAATTCTTCTTCGTTTATTCATGTCACCTATTTTTGTTTATTTATTAAACATTTATGAAAATAACATATTATATACTCTTTTCATATATTGATTATAATATACTAAATTAATTAAAAGTGAGTAGAGATTATTCTCGTCTATGACTTTAATTAAAATTTCTGGGAAAATGAATAAAAATGAATAAACGAGCCAGAATAAATAATATAGTTAATAAAGAAGTTAGAGAAAAGTAAAGAAATAAAGTACAATAAACCAAGTATAAATATTATATTAAACTAAGAGTATTCACAAAAACGACCACACTTCTCAATAAACTTGAATCAAGAATATAACAAGAATAAGAAAAAAAGAATAGAATTTATATATGATTCTTTTAACCTTTTTAAACAAACATTTATAAAAATAAAATAAATTAAATATAATGTTTTTATTAATAAATGATTAAAGGTAATCTAGAAAAGACCAGAAATAAAGATAGTAATAGTAACAAGATATTTATTTCAAAAAAAATATTATATAACACTAACTTATAACACATTCCAGTCTATATATACAACATAGACGAATCAAATCACATCATTTTAATAGTTTATAACTTATTAAAGAAACAATGGATATACAAAACAGGTAAATAAGCTATACAAAAAGAGAAAAAAATAAAATGAATTAAAGAAGACTAAGTAAATTACCATAAAGTGAATGAAATAAACACATCATCAAGCTAACAAATTCTATTATGAAATATAATGTATGAAATTAATCACAAAGAAAATTTTATACTTTAATTTGTTAAAATTATTTTTATGTTAAATATATTTTCAAAGTGAAAAACACTATTCTAACAACCAACAAACTATTTGTTGGTTGTTAGATCTTTTATTATCTTTAATTATATTATATATTAATAAGAAATAATATCCTTGGTTATTTTATTCTTTTCTTAAATCTAAAGTCTATCTTTATGTTCATATTGTACTTCATGTTTATTACATTTCTTTCAATTCATTTATTATCTTTAATTCTATTCAATAGATTTGTTGTAATACTTAATGTACTTGATTCTTCATAGTATTTAATATATAGTTTATAAATTAATTACTAATTTACCAAAATATAAACAGAATATATACAAATATCAGTAAACTTCAAATACATTGTCTAAGATTTTTATTGCATTGAACTAATTAAAAATAAATTAAATAAAGCTAATTCATTCAATTAATAAAAAAGTACTAATAGTATATACCATCTATTTATTTTTAACAGTTATTAAAAGTATATTGGTTAGATCTAACTTATTATTTTACATGATTATAAAAGCATAATAACTAATAGTGAAATAACAGAATAATAATAACAAATTTGTTATTTAAACAAAATTTATCAGTGCTTTCTCATGGATTACAGAAACAATGATAATACTATTAACTATGTTGTATTATTTTTATTTATTTCCTTTTATATTATAAATACTCAAATTTATTTTTATTTGTTTCTTATTATGTTTATAACTCTTTTTTATTATACTCTATTTATCGTTTCTCTTTGTTTAGTTTTGTACTGAGTTAATAAGAAGATAGTTTTCTAACTTTTTGTGTTCATTTGGTAACTCTTTGTAAGGTAATGCATTATTAATTAATTTCATTTAATGAATTATTTGTTGATTCTTTATATTATCTTTGTTATTTTTTATAATAATTACCAACACATAGCTTAGTTTTTATTCTAAGAAAAATTCAATTTATAAGAAAAGTATGTTAGTGGTGTTTAAGTGTTTGAAAATTCATCTATTCAATGAAAAACTCAAATTATAAAAAAGAAAAAACTGAAAAATAAAAAAAATTGTGATAAAGAATGGAACCTACTCGTGTTATTGCCATTGATTATCTCAATGAATATGACCTTGGGAAATTTATGGAGAAATACAGTCATTCTAGTCAAGATAAACAACCCCTCTCCCAGCATCCTTACACTAACACGTTGTCTACATTTCTTGGAAATTCCCCTTTTTCTACACAAGCTGAACCAAGAAGAGATGGTGGAAATGAACCAGAGAAAATAATAGCTGATCCATTTAAAGTAAAAGGTCCTGGCCTTATCCAAATGCATTGTAATAATTGTCAGTTTCGTCATTCATCACAACATAATGCTAAAATCTCTGAAGAGCCAATACAAAAAATGAAAGAAGAACGTTTTGGGATTGTCCAAGCATTAAGTGATTGTTATCGTATCCGAAAAGACAAAGTCCAATTAAGTCAACAAGACACAACAGATTTTGACCAAGATACTATCATATCATCTCAAGAGCTCAAAGAAAGAGAAGAAGTACAGCCAGTAAAAGGAGTCAATACCGTTCCAAGAAAAACAACTCAATTAGTGTTACAAAAAAAACCTAGTATTATTGTCTCAATCCCTTCAAGAAAAACTATTGAATCTTCACTTATTCACACCAAAACAGATTGCATACCAATGTCAAGAGAAAATTCAAGTAAAAGTTTCCTAACAAAACAGCAACAATCTTCTTCTTTAGTTTCATGTAAAACAAACAGTTATCCAATTGTTCAACCAGTTTTGAAACACCAACACACAATGGTTGTTCCAACCAAAAGACTTAGTTTTGGTGACATTGACGATGAAGTTCTCACTGAGGTACCTCAAAAAGATAATTTTGCTATTTCTCCAACTCCAATAGTTGAAAACCTTCCTGATCTTTCAGACATTGAATTTGAAGAAAAGCAAATCCATGAAACAAAACCTCGAAAAAATAAGTACCAACAAAGACAAAGAATAAGTGAAATTAAAAAACAAGGGAACACTTACCCTACTACGTATCAATTTATTAAACCAAGAATAAGTGAAACAATTCAATTGTCAGAAACGTCATTGTACCATGTAAGATCCTCTTCAACCCAATCTAACTGTTACTCATTACCAACAAAAGTGCATTTAAATTTGAATTGTGACATGAAAGAAGATCCAGATGTTTATATCCCACCTTCTATTTAGTCACACCATAATATACTTTTTGTTTTTCTTATTAATTCCTTTTCTTATTATTACGTTTTTGTTAACCCTTTAAAGAGTTTGAAACAAAGGCACTATATTGCAGAAATATACCTACTAAATGTCATTTTCTAAAGAAAAACTCATTAATCAGACTTCAGTCAATTAAATTTTCTTTTTTTCAAACAAAAAAACGAAATTTTAAAGACTCTAGACTTGTTACTTTTTCAATTCAAAACTTTCTAAACATATGCCACAAATTTATTCTTTAACTGTCCTTCAAATAATCCTCTTTCTATGGAACCTACCCCAAACTTAAAATGTTGAACTGAGTTATTTTATCAAATTGTTAAAAATGGATATATTTTCTTATTAGTATGCTCAATTAGTTAGTACATAGTCTTAGTATAGAGTATCAAATAACTAATTATATAAAATATTCAGAGTTAGATGTATTGAATTAAAATAAAAAAATAGAAAAGGAATAAAAATGTTGATTTTTTTCCAAAGATTAATATGAAGACTAAGAGTAATTCATTTTTAGTGATCTTGGTTAAATTAATACCATAAAAATTCATACCATTTTAGAAAGGGGGAAGTGAGGTATATTACATCAACAACCAACTAAAGGACTAAACATATTAAAAGTTATTGATTATTTAATTCGATATTCTAATATTAAAAACAAAGATAAAATTATCTATTGTTATGTACTTTAACAAACATTAGTTTGTAAAGATGAGATAAAATTTTATGATAAATTGATAGTGAAGTTATGTGAGTTCTATTAAATAATGTTAATTAATAAGATTATTTTTATTTTCATTAACAGAATATATTTGGTAAAGAACTTATACATCTTTTCTTGTGAATTAAATATTGATAATTGCATCTATTATGTTATTGAAAACTCATTTCATTGAAATTATTGAAGTTGTTTTATGTTTTAAAGAAGACTATTATCATGGTATATTTTAAATATTCATTATGATTAGTTCAATGGTGGAATATTGTTATTACATCAAAAAAAATAAAATGAAAATAAATTGATTAAATGAAAACAGAATAAATGAAAATAAAGTCAAATAAAGAAATAATGAAAGATAAAAGAAAAGATGAATAAAATAATAACTCAACAAGTTCAATTTCTGAAATTTAACAATATTTATGAAATGGTTATGAAAATCTAATTTTAATGAAAATAATACAACAATTATCATTGACACTGTAATATTAAAGTTTATGAAATGTTGTATTAATTAAATAAAGAAGGAATAAAATGATAAGTAAAAATGACAGAATAAATAATAATTTGAAAATCAATCAAAAATATTTTAACTATTTATTTCAAAATACAATAATTAAATTATTACCTCATCTCACTTTTCTTTAATCATAATAGTCATCAATTTTTCAATAAAACTGATTTAATAGAAAATATATCAAATACATTGTATCATTAATGAACAGTAATAATACAAATAATATAACAAAATAACAAGAAACTGTAATGTGTTTATCAACAAATGAAGATATTATTAATAATTTGAATTTTAAATAAATACAAGTAATTCAGATATAAATACATAAAATCTAACCAAATCATCATTCTGTTTTTATAAACAAAGAGAATAATGAAACAACAATCATTTACTACAAATACTAACTATTTAAATTGTAATACAACACTTTACAATAAAAGTGTGTTTAATAACAAACTTAAGATAGAACAATATAATGAAGAGAGGTATAAATTTAAATAAAATTAACAACTAGAAAAGACTATGAACAAAGCACAAACAAATAAGAATATGAAATAACATGTTATTATTAGATAATAACTTATAATAGAAATAATAAGATTAATTTATATAGATAATTAGAATATAATAATACAGTTCAACTGTATAGAATGAATAGTTTTATAACTAGTTCATAACTTGAATATTTGAATAAACACTAACAATAAATATAATACAACTATAACATACAAAATAATTAAATTTGTAAAAAAAAAACAAGAAATATAATAAAATGATGTAGTGTTTTAATAATAAATATCACTGAATTGACATTGATATAACATAAATATAAGATTTTCTGTATGGACATATAAAAATGAATTAAAAATTGTTTTAAATGAATATGAAATAGAGAAACAAGTTTTATTGAATGTGTTAAAATATAGAATAATATATGTGATAAATGTAATAAGATTAATTGAACCAAAATCAAAATATTCATTACCTCGGAATAAATATTCATTTGAATAATGAAATCAAATATTTACAAATAAAAAATGAAAACTAACTAATATTAAAACAAACTATATTCATTGTACAATTAATTATGTTAATAAACTAGAAATTATAACTAGAGACATTATAATATTAATAATCAATAAATTATATATATGAAACATAATATTGAAATTATAACATAATAATAAAAGAAGAACACTACATTACAATTACATTTAAAGATATTATTTAATAATTATTAAATAAATTAAATATAAATAAAATCTAATATTAAAATAAATCATTCAAAGATAAGTAATGAATAAGTTGAAATAAACATTAATTCAAACAATATAAATTGTAATTAAATATAAAATGATATCAAATAAACAAAAGTATCATTAATTAACAACTCTAATTAATTATATGATTTGTTTTATAATAATATATTATCATTATCTGAATAATAATGAGTTATTGTTATTAATTATTAAGTTAACTATGATATTTATAATATCAACTAGATCATGCTATTCTCATTTAAAACACATTTAAAATAAACAATAAAGTTTATTTCAAGAAGAGATGATAAATTAATTTGTTTATTCTGTTATTATTTCACTAGAAATATTAGAAAATGAAGAAATGTTAATCATGAGTTTATTTGATAATGATAATTGTTTCATCATTGAATTATGAATATTGAATAATATTTGTTAAAATATATAAGTTTTATTCATTAATTTAAAATCATATAGATTAATTATTTAGTTTTAATTTATCATATGATATTTGATTTTATCAAAAGATAATAATAATAATGAGTATTATTGATGAAGAAATATATTACATTTTAACGATATGTAAAGAATAGTAATACTAAAAACAAAATAACTTAATTAAAATAACAATAACAAACATATTAAAAGAAATATAAAAAAAGAAAAATGAATAATTCAAAGAATGAAAGTTAAATAAACACAAAAATGAAATAAGAATTAGTATAAAAACTAAACAAAGTTTTATTTTATCTATGATAGATAATCAAGTTATAAAAAAAACAAAAGATTTAATAAGCGTATTGAAAATAACATAATTTAAATATAAAGAAATGATATAAAGATTATTAATAATTGAAACAAAGATAAAACTTATTTACACCATTCAATTTACATCATTTTCTATTAGAAAAAGAAGACATACAAGAAACAAAACAAATTCTTTTCAAGACATCTTAAAAATAGAGAGAACAAACAACTAAAAAAATGATTTATAGTAAGTTATTTTTATACCTTTTTATATGAATGGTTATTTTTTGAGAAACTAATTCTCCTGAACTCCAAACCTCTTACAACTGAATCACCACTATTATTAAAAGGTTTAATAGAATGAACTAGAGTTGTTTACTTCTAAGTATAGCAAAAACTAAATCTCTATAATACCATAATTGATTAGATTTTATTTCTTGATTTCTCTCTCTTTTGTTTGTTTTTTGTTTATTAGAAGAACAAGTTTATTTGAATATCACCCACTGTTTATTTGATATAAACAAGTGTCATTCAAACCAAACAATAATATAAATATTTGTATTTAGTTTTTAGTGTAAATTATAATTTTGTTATATATTACACACTTATTGATTTAATGACACTAATTGTACTAAGAAATTGAGAGAGAAATTTCCGGATAAAAAGTTGATGATGTGGCAAAACCCTCTATTCTGGAAGGAGTAAATGAAAAACCATCTACAATTTGTTATTCAAAAGAAGACAGATGGCAGGAAGACCAGCATTATTTAAGGCAATTCTCATTGGAGATAGTGGTGTTGGGAAAACATCACTTATCAATAGATACGTCAATAACCAATTTTCTGATGTATATAAAGCAACAATTGGTAGTGATTTTCTGATTAAACCAGTTACTGTCAATGGAGCACAGTACACTCTTCAAATTTGGGATACTGCTGGACACGAAAGATATAGTTGTGTTGTCACTACATTCTATCGAGGGAGTGATTGTTGTGTATTATGTTTTGATGTTACGAATCGAGAATCATTCAATCATTTAGAAAAGTGGAAGATGAGTTCATTGATGGAGCAAATACACTA